GAACGATCATCTTTTTGATGACATCGCGCCTGCGTGAGATTGTATAGGCCGCTCCTTTACCATTTCAAAACGACACAATAGAGGGATTACTCATCAATGAACACTGTTTTTCCTCCAATGTGACGATGACATTGTATTTTGCCCGGTCGTTGATCGAAACGTACCATCACTCATATCAATTTTAATGGGAAAATCAGCGATGCACTACGCAGCACATTTTGGTGTTGTGTTTGAAACCATGGATATGCCTCACAATGTCTATCAGTGGGATGACTTCTTTCCTTGCAACACGTGTGATTTCTGGAATGCGGAGAGCGCAGGACTTGACATCGCTTTGCGCAAGCACTACAACCTGTCGCTAGATTACAATATCAATTTGGAGAAATACTACCGCTGCTGCTCCGTGCACTTTAATCGCACACTGACCCGAGTGTTGCGTAATGGCGCGCTGGTTCCACCGAAACAACGTACCGTGTTTTACAACTCGGCTTGCGAGCTCCTGACATTGGAAGATCCGCTCTTATATTTGGCAAAGATATGGTGCCTTATAAGCGAGTTTCCAAAACTCAAACGCTGGATTCACTAGCACGTTGCCCGAGGTGAGTTCATATTCCCTAGCATGCGTGCAAATAGCAACTGCATTGCTCCGTATATAAGTCACGACACCAACGCGCAAGAATGTATCGGTGGCGACTTTTAAGCATGTGCGCCTAAATCCAAAGTTTCGTTTGATGAGTGCTTGGATCATTCGTATCGGTACCTTATACAGCGAGAAAGAGATTATGATTTGGCCGAACAAGGCATGCCCCTGCGATATCAATCATCGACGTCCAGATGCAAGGTAAACAATAACAATGGACGACCACCAAATACCACGGCCCAGCTGTTACCACAGACTGGAAAACGTCGTGGCCGACCGCATGTTTTGCTAAACCAGTAACCAAAGTTCGCTTTTGCCATGGATCCAAAAACGTTCGGAATTCCTTGAAGTTTCAAATTTGAGCAATTTCATGCGATCAACACTTGCCCTATGGACACTGTTTTAATGGCAATCTTTGTGTTGCATAAATACGTCGGGTCATCGGAGGCAGGTGACAGTGAGGTGTTGCGCAACGTCCTTGTGCTAATCAAAGAAGAAGAGTACGACCGCGCTCGATTCATTTGGTGCACGAAGGTTTTAGGATTCCCTCCTGCTGGGGATCACGATCTATTTGGAAGCATCGGAATTCACATCGACTCTTCTCAGCTGCGATCACTGTTCACATTCACAACATCTTATGATCCTTCTACGACTCCGAGTTCTGTCCTCAGTAGCATAGTTTCGCCCCTCGCGCCGCCGCTTTAGGTGACTCCTTTGCGTCCGACCATGGAAAAACGATTGACACCGTCCACCCACTAGCGCACTGCCAACGTTTTTTGCAAGTAGCACTAGACGAGTTTTTTGTCCCCGAACTGCACGAGCGGTGTGAGATTGCATGCACTCCCGACCTGGTTCAGCGTAACCTTGTTGATGTCTATGTTGCAACGCCTTTGCACGACGGCGACTTCAACATTATCGGCTTTATTGCCCGTTGTGCAGGCACCCGTCGATATCCTCTCAGACGTTTCCAGTCATATCCGATTTTGATTAATGTATCATGTCCAGTTGGAGATGCAGCAATGGTTCAAAAGCCAATCCTTCCCATCTAGCTGGGAGACCATCGATATCACTTGGCCGCAATCATCTACTTGACGATGGGTCGCACACATTTCTGTTGCCATGTGTTTGTGCAAGGTAAACCTCTCTTTTATGATGGCTACAAGCCCAAGCCCAAAATTTGATGGGACAATCTTGCGACGTATCAACGCACCCAGTTCCCAATAGCAAACATTTGGTACATACATTCCAATCGTGACACCGCCAAACTGGTTCTGGACTCATCTAGTGATGACATCTCCAATGGTGGAGATTCAAGTTCCGGTATCGATGACGTGCTACCATCGAGAAAGGTGACCCGGAATTTGTTTTGCAAGAGCGACATCAAGTCTGCGGTGCTGCCGCAGCCATCACAGCGAGCGAGCAAGCAAAAGAGCCAACAAGGGCCCAACCAAAATAAATGTAGGTTTCCATTGGGAGTATCGATGCAGCCGGTCAGTTTGCGAGGTTCGCTGCCGAAGTGCTCGGCTTGCGGGCAGTCCATCGCGCGAGGACTTCTTTGAATAGTCAAGAGGAAACTTACCAATGTTGCGTGAGGTTATACGACGGAGCGATCATATCACAATCAAGCGGACTGCTTGGTGTCTTTGTCCAACGCGGAAAGAAATTCCATCAAGCAATAAACTGTGCTAACGATGCTAACGATGACGTACTCACATGATTCATCCATTGGATGCCCATACGATTTGTATAGCTGAACATTATACCCAAAATTTTGTATTCAATGGAGAATATAGCACGAATCGTTCACTGCGTCTCATGCTGGAGCAATCGTTGTGCATCCGTGCTGCGCAGTTACTTGGATGTATAGCGTGGCATTTCTTGGGTGTGTGCGGTTTAAATTGCGTGGGTGTGTGTTGGGTGTATATACATTAAAATCAATATCACCTTTATCTATATAGTTACTTTTTTAGCACGCACTAGTCAAAACTGTCATGTCATCAATCCGCGTGTTTGATAGATAGAGAGTATATGTGTTACTATGGAGCATCACGTCAGCAATTTGTGTGATTGTTAGATAAGGATTGAATGTGTTAGTTGGGAGCGTCACGTCAGCGGTTCGCGTGCTTGTTAGGATTATCCGTCACGTCATCCATTCACTACGAGTGAGATAGATAGTGATAATGAGATCTTATCTCATTGTAACTGTTGGGAAGAGTTGTATAAGGAAGAGTAGAACCATTGTTCATCTTCAAAATATATATTTTCATCTTCGAGTGAATTTCTCTCTAAACCCTGTGTTACAAAAGTTCCCTCGAAGTTGAAACAAAAACTCTGAAAATGAGATTCCATGCATGCATCCCATTTCAATTATATAAATACTTCAAACGAAGACACAAAGATAAGATTTTTTTTCTACCATCCAATTCCCGCCCTAGTGGATTAGTGACATGACGGATGGACCTAACAAGCACACTGATTGATGACGTGTTGTTCCCAACTAATATACTAACTAGCATATTCATTAGGTCAGAGATTGATGATGTGACACTGTAGATATTCCACTATCATGTATTGTATTCAATCTCGAATAAACTTTATCTTAGTTTTAACTATATAAAGATGGTTACATCCACTACAGGGAATCACAACGCTTTTGATTATCTGAAACCAATATTAGTAGTACAAAAGTTCTTGGGATTAAATATCCCTAGTGCAAGCTGTGCTTCCTAGCTAAACTTATCTAGAATCAAAATTATTCTTTAACCAGAATTAAACTCAACAAGTTGACGACCTATCATGTTTTCGCTACGACTTAGTTCTAATTAGCTCTAGTTTACAAAGTGATTTTTGTTAATTTTCATTCTATGAATTTTTGGTAGAATAATTGTATATACTAACGAGTTTTTTATACCCAGACATGTGTTAAGCGCAAAATTGTTAGTGTTAAACTCTATAAAGAGTTATTGGACTAGTTGGGATTTTGGCTAAATTCAACTTTAGAGTTTCTAATCTTGACTTTACTACTTATAGTGACAAGGAGTCTACTTATAAAATCTTCGAATGTTCCCTTGGATGTAGCCTACAAAGGGGGAACTACGTAACTTTTGCTATCTCATGTGAATGTACTAATTTGATACAACATCATAACCATTTGAGTTATATTTACAAACAAAAGCTCAAGTTAAAAATTTTAACTCTTCAAAATAAAACTTATGATAATCCTTGTTATATAAATTTTTCTAACTTAGGTCAATTTTTTTCATCGTTAAAATTGCCTCACAGCTTTTGATAAGAGCTTTGCAATCTTCTATCCACTTAACTTGTGGAATTGATTTAGATGTGACGCAACACATGATGCTTTTCGTTACCATTAATAAAAAAATTTACTTTAGTGCATGAAATGGAATAGGAATATAGATTTTTTACAATTTCATACGTATGGAAGAGATCATAACTATGATATTCGGAACTATGATATTATCACTAATTGATCACTTCCAACACAACAATTTTTTCCGAGAATATATACATTCATGTAACTCATTCATATATGATATGTACACTATAGCAGTTCTTTAATAAACAAGATATAAACCTCACAAGAGCAGATCATTTTCTTGCCATGCTCTATTTCTAACACTCATTCTAAATCGTCATTTGAACCAATTCCTTCAAAGCCAATTGAATTACTATAATAACGAATAGTGCTTAAATAGAAGTTGTAGATAATGAATTACATTGCAAGACAATTACCTGCAATGTAAATTTTGATGATATAAGGTGAAATTTCTACTCCACTAATCATCTACTATTATTGAATATCAAAAAGGTGTAAGGAGTTACCATATATTACTTTTTGACTCTCAATTGTTAAAATTGTGCAGTCTAGCAATGATTGATGTTAATTAAGTGATCCATCCAGTCGTTACTTGCACAAATTCAATATTCAGTGGTATTTCACATGTCCAAACCATACGTGTTCTCCGAGATGTTTTAGGTTTCCGGGCTTACTACTACACTACGGAGCCGTGGAAGCTTGTGTATGGTATAGTAGAGACGGAGACTCATAAGCAAGGGTTTCAGTTCTCCAACCACAATCGTCGATTATTCTCTTGGAAGAATTCATTCCTCCGAGAAAAACTTTCAACCACTTACGGTCGGTGGTTTTGGTGGTTTTGCGAAAGTCTATAACTCTCTTTCCTCGCCCTGTTGAAATCGGACAAGCTTGCGAGGGCAAGCACAAGAGTTTGAAAGACAAATCGCAGCTTAAAAACTTCATCTCCTTCAACCTCCGTGTTGAAAAACTCTTTTAACGAGACAGATTTCTTCACAAACAGTTTTCGTTCACATAAACGGCACTGACAAATCATATGGCACACAGAAGTCACATCATTACCGGACACAGGAAGAATCTGCCAGAGGAGGCGTCTGCTTCTTCTGATATCAACAACGAACCAGCAAGGCTCTAACATGGATCATCCATAGAAGAGAGCCCCGTCTTCTTAGACCTCTGGAGCAGACGATTTATTTAAAAAATTTCATAATGGTACATGAACTGGTGGGTGGCCTGAAGAATTGGACGTGTCTGCTGGGCTCAGACTTCACCGACCCACAGCTGAATTGCTGAACTTTCAGAGCAGAGCTACAATCAACGAAAATGATGAAAGACAGGATGAAGTCATTCTGTAAGAGCCTGACTGACTGTGCGGACTTACCTTCGGAGCATCAAGATGGTACAGACTTCAAGTATCTGCTCGATCAGCTGCTGCTTTTGACCTCTTTGCTGTATAACCTGCTTTGCCGAAATGAGCACATTCATGTGATACTCCATCGGTAACCAGGTGAAAGCAGGACCACTAAATTTCATATTCAACCGTATCACATATCTGACCGGCTCAGACGCAGTTCGCAAACAGCCAGTCTTCCGTACGTCATTAGTGGCTTCAAACCTGCGCGGGGTACAATTGATAAGCTTAGGCCTGAGTGTTAACTTACAAGAATACAAGGAGATGACGAATGCTACGACAGAAGACATAGAACAGAAATTCAAAACAGAAAGCAATTTTCTGGCAATATATATCTCTACTGACTGTAATGCTCATAGCTCATATCGATGAAGGCTATGCGGTGGTCTGAGGTACAAATAATGCACCGTCAGAGCAAACGAGCATGATTTCACTCGTTTTCCAACTCAAACACTTCAACAACCTTACCATAAATGTTTCTGGAAGGTGGGAGATTCGGACTTACCGATTTCGCTATGCCTGCATGAAAATCACGATTTGCTTGGATGTAACTGCACATTCGTAGCAGCTAATCGTCAAGAGAGTTCTCCTCAAAATTCTCTCGAATTATGTTAATCCATGTCGTCCTCACTACAAGTGCTTTCATCACCACGAGGCCGTCTGTTGCGCATCCCCCGGTGCACAACCATTTCTTCATCTTCTTCGCTGTAGTTGCTTACAGCTTCCTCACTGGACGGCGATGAAATCGAATCAGGTTCTTCTTCTTGGCTGACTCCTTTGGCAGTCGTTTCCTTGGCCACTCCTGAGTCTTTGTCTGGTTTTGTTTTGGGTTCATCCTCCCCGTCTGTTCCGTCATCCATTGCGAGTCTCCGTCGCCTCCTAACCCTACGCTTCCCTTTGGAAACATCTGCTGCATATTTTTGCCCGCTAGAACATCCGCCATCTACTTTCTCTCCTTCTGCAACCCTCGATCGTTTTAAAGACTTGCCTGTACTCACACCCTCATAAGCCTGATGTTCGGTACCGTTAGGAGCTGGATCAGACTCAGAGTCAGACAGCGTTCTGGACTCGTTCCGTCTTCTTTTCCGTGCTATGTATGTTTGCAAGCCCTGTCATAACAAAATCTTGTAGCAAATTAGCAAAACTGGATTCCGCGTAAAGAAAGTATTTGTGACTTGCGAATGATGCTCACACTCAGAGGACCAAAAGAAGAGATAAACTGATCAATGTGATTACTCCACTTCACTCTTGGGATCTTAATATGGTAAGCACAACCGCCAGAGTACCGCAGAATCTCACCTTAGGACGTTCCACAAGATGAGCCCACGCGGGCCTACTTCTCAAGCTCTCCAGAACAGCTTGGCGATGACTAAGATAGGCGTAACGCTCACCATTCGACTTCCGTAATTTTGGCCAATGCTGATCCAAACGTACACTCGCAAGGTGAGTAAGACCATTGAGAAGCCTTCCACAAGATTTTCACAGGATCCTTCTTGCAGGTCCTCTTCATATTACCTCCAGGAATAGCTCCCGGAACATGTGACAGAGGCCAAGCCAGTTCATAGCCAGAAAAAATCCATCTGACAGCAAGAATGACAAGGTGTATAGAGGGGAGACCACGTACAGGCAATATGGCCTCACATACATCCTCATAAGATATTTGCTGGCCCTTGCTGTTCAAAACCTCTTCGATCAGACCTGGAGAGAGACACAAAGTAAAACAATAAGAACTGCAATACACCCATGGATAATGAATATTTTGTCGGTTCAGGTCAGGAGAGTATTACAATGCTTAATTTCTTAGAACCTGCATGAGAATTACACGTCGACAGAGAAGCACCTGGTCAAAATTGAAACCCGAAAAATGGAAATAAAGAGCAAAAAGGAAAATAGGAAAATAAGGTTCACCGAACCTGGAAGCGTAGCAGGACTCTTCTTGTCTCCATCAAGAATATCTTCTGCACCTGGCACGATTATCGATAGACTGCTTCTTCCAAATAGATGATGACGGGCGCTGCCCTCAGGCACATACTGTGATCCCAGTCCACCAGAGGAATCCTTGACATCTGGTAAAGAAATATTGACGGCCATAGCTTCTGAAGTACTTCTCCCGTCATCAATCTTCCCATCATCTGCTTTCTTCCCTTCGCCCTTTACTGAATCATCTACAGGACTTCTGCCAATGTTCCTTTCACCATCCTTGCTGCTAAGGCGGTCTTCCCTGTTCCTTCTTCTTAGAGCCTACAACACACTAAACAGATGTTTAGTAAAAGACTGCAAATGAACATATGTACATCATGGCGGTACCAACGGACAACATGATTCTCCAATCATTCCCTACGGTGAAGGAAGTTACTCAAATACTGGAAGCCATAAGTTCTAAAAGGAATAAGGCTCAAATGTAATCATCGATTGTTCAGATTAAACAAAATACACTGATACAACAAATTGACAATTGCACCGCCCAACCTTGCCGTGAAATATACATACGTCGTAAAAGACAAGAAGGAAGACGGCAAGTTTTTAACATGGCAAGAAGCAATAACGTACCAGATGGTGTTCTACCGGTAATTTGTGACTTCCACCCGCACTGGAAGCAGCACCAGTATTTCCCTTCGTAGACGATACTGATGCTTGAGAAGCAGATGTCAACTGCAACGATGCACCAGCTTGCCTCACTCTTGGTACACGTGGAACACGAGGAGAGCTGTTTAATTCTTGATGAAGTAGGAGTGCTAGCTGCACAACAAACAAGCTTTAAAGTTGAGAAGATGACTTCAATCTAGACAGATTACTCGAACACCCCTGGAAATTCGTCCACAAGCGTGGAAGAAACGTTGAAACTCGTCTGTGTACTCCAGTGCAATTTCTAAATTGGTGCCTGCTTCAACACTTGCGTCAAACTTGAGGTTTGACAGATATGTCACTAGCTAACTTCAATGAGTTGAACAATGTATTCAAAAGTTCCAATAAAATGGGTTCGAATCCAGATAGCATTGAATTTCTAAATACCTCAGATTGAATAAATCCCACACCCAGGTTACGAATAAAAAATCAAAGCACAGCACTAAACGACATCACACAAGTACAAGTATAATATCTCACGTATTGTATACTGAACTTAGGTAGCTCTGTATAGCAGTAACAACTATTCAAACTCAGTGCGACTGTTCGAACACAATGCAAGGAGGGGAGAGCTCCTCTTGTGATCACTAAAATACTTAGACTTTTCTAGAGTTTCGAATGGCGAACGAAGATGTCGCATAACACAAACCAAACAGAAACTTCCGAGAACAACTATGAGTTAATCATACTTGGATGATCCAAAGAATCTCAGTTAAAGCAATGGTAGATATTCAATTGAATGGAGACATCCACTGACGAACTTCTTATCATAATGAGTAGTTAATCATGTATTCAGAACGCTATACTCAGGTGTTAAAACCACAAACCTATAAACCAAACATGACTATGACTGTAGAGAAGAGCAGTATGCGATAAACTAATAATATAGGAGTAGCTTCATATCCATCAAAATAATTGTTAAAAACTAGTTTACGTACAAACACAATTGAACCCATACATCAACTCCAAAAGTAAGACGGTTGATTTCGTTTCAAATTCACACAAAATTTACGCCTGAAATTGTATCGAGCAAGATGTCCGTACATGCACGGACAGAACTATTCCATACTAGCAGTACAAGAACAATGTGAGACCAGGTTGTGGAGAGCATGGTTTGAAGACATGCACTTAGGAAGACTAAAGCAGAGCACAGAGACGAGGCCTGAAAGATATTTACATGTTCATAATCCGACAGAAAAACCAAATGTGATATCTTACCTCTTCGTCTTTTAAGGTAGTAGTTGCTGTGGCTGGACTGCTTAGGGCAGTAGGTGGAGAACGTTTAGGTACAGAAGGTGGGACGCTTGACTTGGTGTGCCCAGAAGGTTTTGAAGGTTGTAAGGTCGCTTTCGATCCAGAATGTTTACTTTGTGTTTTCACCACAACGTTCCCATGTTTTGATGAAGATGGCGGCTTAGAGATCGTTGGAGAGACCACTTTGCCAACCACTGAGCTTTTACTGTGAGATGAGTTCTTCCCGCTCTCTTTATTGAGAGCACCTGAGGAAGTGCCACCATGGTTACCACCTCGTGACGTCAACGTTGAGGACTTCGAGCCCACATCACTTGACTTTGACACAGGTAAGCTGGATGACCTCGAGGATGCTTTTGCTGTATTAACAGCTTTAGAGGAGAGAGGAGATGGAGAAGGCGTCGGAACAGATTTAGAAGTAGTCAGAGAAGCAACTTGCTTGCTACCCGACGTCCCAGAAGATGAGACTTTTGAACCTCCGTGTATACTTGAGGATTTCAGTGTATTTCCTCCTGAGAAGCTCTTTTGAGGTGGAGGCGAACCTGGAGCCTTGTTGCTATGAGGTTGAAGTTTGGAAGACGGTGTAGTTACAAGCGGTGATGTTGGAGACGATGAAGTTCCAGACGATAAAGGACTTTTCATCTGCCCTGCCAACGCTTTTGAATCCGTTTTCGTCGAGATCGGCACCCGGACGTTGACTGAGGCCTTCTCAGAACTATGGATGGCAGACGCTCCCGTTTGCGCACTCGATTTACGACTGTAAGTTCCGACCCCGTTGCTCTGTCTTGCTTGTTGACAAATAGGAAGAGAAACTTTCTGCTCCGGCGCATCTGTGATACTACTGGCTCCGAGAACTGGAGTATGTGAGACAACTCCAGGTGAAGGTCCCTCACTTCGAATCTGTTCCTTGATTTCTGCTGGTTGGCCTTTCAAGCGTTGGGTTGACTCTGTTTCAAATCTGTGTGCTGGCGCGGAAGACTGCGACAGAAGAGAGACATCATGTGACCCCTCTTGAGATTTATAAGCTCCTTCAAGCTCCTTCGAAGCCTGTGTCGGAGAATCATGTGTATGTGCTTGCAGTGTACCGATTTCCTCACTATGACTGACCTTCGGAAAACCAGAACCACTTGTAACGCCTGCAGAAAGAGGAGATACAACTTTCTGGGCTGAATTAACTCCGGTTTGTCCAGGTAACGAAGGACTCAATACCGCCCTCTGTTGTTGGAGAATAAATTTTTCCCGGACGGATGCAGGAAGACAACCGGATGTTCGAGCTGAGCCCTGCCCCCTTGTCTCGGTAACCAATGGTGTGGTCAAAGACTTCGTGGTTTTCTTCTCACCTTGAGTATCTGCGGTAACAAAGAATGTTTAGAAAAAGCATTGTATGTAGAACGTCCAACGACTAGACCTATAGACTTCGATGACAGTCGATAGCACATCCGAGTTTACAGTTTGAAGTAGTCAGTATTTGCACATCGAACAGATTCAGGAGCAACGTTGTCACCTGAATTGAAATCATCTGCTGAAGGCAAAAACTTCGAGTCCGTACCACTTTTACAGGCCAATATCTCTCCAGATTCTGCATGAACAGACTGACGCTTAAGGGCCCTTTGTTCGGATGAATCCAAAACCTGAAGCACAGCGGCGAAGGAATTAAAACTTGAAATCGACTTCATGATGAGGTGTCGAGACTAGTGCTAGCCAAATTCCACGCATTCCAGATCATCTGCCAACGATGATTCGAGTCTACCAAATATAAGTGTATGGTGTACAACAAAAATTGCAGTCTCAGTTAAAAAATACTATAACTAAATTATCAACTGTTGCAGTTTCTTTCAGTTGTCGCCCGGTTCAGACATGTTTTCGCCGACTGAATTTGATTGAAAAACCAACACAATATACAGAAAAAGTGTAGATAATCTGCAATCTACCCATCCGATTTGACTGAGCAAGCTACTGCTCTAGTTTGCATTTTACACGCAAGCATCGATCACTATCCAACTGCCCGGTACTGCCCTGCTTGACTCGACAGATTTGACAATGTAAGAAGTAAGTCCATACAAATCTTCACATCCTCGTTATCATTCCATTCAGCTCTGTACACGGATTTACTGAGACTCCTGTTTGACAGCTTATTGGTGTGAAGTTGACCGCGAAAATGGATTCATTGCTACAGATCATGTTGTGAGAAAGTTGAAATCGACACGATGGGATTACTCCGTCAGATCTACAATAGGTGGTAGAGAGTTCTTGTAACGGAAATCAGCGCGGTGTGGGAGAAGGAATGATGCACTGGATACTTACGGAGTTGCTAAGCCTTGAGTTTATAGAACCAAAAGATGCTGCTAGCGCAAGTAACTGGCTACCCTTTCTAAAGAGCTTGAGTACTGTGAAGTAAAATTACTAGTGTAGTTGAGGGTGAAGGTGGGTACCCTGAAGTACCCTATGCATCCTGATCCAATGACAATATAACCGGTGGCTAGGTAGCAATTAGTGGGCCTTTGATGTAGCTCCCCAGCCACATCTAACCATCAAGGGTGATGAGTCCTCGCAAACACCTTTTCTGCGGATAATTGCGGTTGTAGTTCCACAACTGTAGAAGCAGGATTTTATCCACCACAAACTACCATGTGCAGTCATACTGCTATCTACTCTATACGATGTAGTGTACACTACTCTTTGGCGAGTTTAGAAATGAGGAAACATTAGGCATATGGTGGGGCTAACCATTGAAATACTGAGATCAAATTCGGAACTCGCAGACCACAAGGTGCAAGCTAACGTAGGTTTGAGAAGGGGTTGCCACTACTACGCGGAAAAGTTCCTGTAATTCATAGTACACTGCATTCAAGCGCCTCAACGTAATCCTCGTAAGCCTGAGACTCGAGGACATCTGGAACGAATACAACAATCACATATGGAGGCAATGACAAGTCCTCAGAGTTATTTTCGCTTGTCCAGTGCGTGAGAAAATAGGTGGATAGATGCTACGCACAAAGCAACGTTAGTTCTCATCGGGTTCTTTCAGTGTATCTGGCCAAAGTGAGCACAACTTCGTCTTGAAGGGAATTCAGCAAAGGGAACAAGGGAGATGAGCGGCACATTATAGTAAGTTCAACATAACGCATGAAGTTTAAAATTACAGAGCATGTAACGCTTCTGATGTCCGTTGAGGTGTGCACTATGGATCTTCAGAACAGAGTAAGGAGTATTCTCAGAGAATCAACGCTAAAAGGCCCATCCCCAATACCAACCCAAGAAGCGGTGCAGACAGACCAACAGTGAGCCGGCACAAAAATGATAACCAAAAAGATTCTCAAAGGCTCACTGCAATTAACTACCCTTGATACTAAGCATCAAACGCAGTAATATGCATCTTAGTTTTAATCTTCATCCACGCATCACACACTGGAGCAAAAGCGAAGAGACAGACGTTAACATTCGAGTGTGCTGTGCAAGGTTGAATGAGGTCACGCGACATGACGAGGAATATCATAGGCTCAACGTTATGCATGTACAAAGTCAATACTTGGGGATCTACAATGTCTACACTAATACAAAACCGAATGGAGCGCCCAGCTGTACATCTATTACAGAAAATGCCTACATATCGTCCAAGTTTCTTCTGCAGCTGAGGTGCAAAGACCGGTAATGGCTTTCAAATGGATCCATTCAGCCCATATGTTAAACTTCGAAGTTGAAAAGAGACATATCCCCGTCGGTCCGCGTGCAGAACAACAGGAGATGTGTCCTCTCAACCCAACATATATCATGACGAAATTTCTCCTCACTAGTCCTGCAGACTGTGATAGCACGCAAGCAGCCTTCGAGCTGGAGAGATGGTGTGAAGCTAGATTCTACGCCTAGCTAAACCTAGAACTCATTGAAAAGAAAATAAACCCGAAAGTAAGTGCTTCAAAAAAAAGTTTGGATGGTAAATCTACCTCTAGTATCTCCCCGGCTTCTGCCTCCTGGCCCGGACGATAGAGACGCTTTCCGGGAGACTCCAGAATTATGGCAGAAGGTTCCTTGTCACACGTCACCTCGCATATTTCCTCCTTCGCAAACTTCCTTGGAGGTTGCTGAACGCCGGAATCCGCTGCCTTGGTATCAGAATCTTTGTCATCAGACACCTTGGGATGTGGTAAATGATTGGGCGAACACTCTCCTGTGACGTGTCGTTGCTTGCTCTCATCTCTGCTTCTTGGCGTCTTGACGGCGGCCTCGTTCTTGTCAATCGATTTCCTGTCCACTATTTCGACATCAGAACATGCCACAGCGTTTTCTACCACGCTCTCGGGCTCTTGCTTTGGCAAAACAGAGTCCGTCGCGAATCCTGTAGGCGTCGAAACTCCCACGACTCTGCCACACTTTTGGCACGTCCACTTGGTTTCATGATCTGTAGAACTTCCTGAGAACACAGATAACGCAAACAAAAAAGGCAACTCAGATTCTCGCACCAACTTCGTGACAAACCCAACCCACGCGAACATCTTCGACCATGGGATAGATGAGAGCTCCGTTGCATACGCATCGCTCAATAAAATGACCATTCACACATTAACCGTTCCCAGATTCGTGAAAGCATTTGCCAATAGGCTTCACAGCCTGGACCCGCGAGAAATTACAGCACCCCTGCAGTGATGCCCAGCCGACATGCGCTGCATGGAGCCCCACGTAGCTGGGTCCACGGATGTTACCTCAATAAAGAATCGCCTTGGCCACATACCGGTAAAGAAAACCTATAAAAGCACACAAGAAAGAGGTTACAATAAATCTGGGACCTCCCAAGGTGAACGTTAAGGAAAGAATCTTAGGCCCTTACCGAAGTTCCAGACAGAACGCGTGCCCACGGGTATGTCGCAGTTCTCACATCTGCTGCAGATTCTCACGACGCCGTCCATGAATTCTTGCACTGCCAGTTTCTTCATGGCCTTGGGGTTCTTCGGCGACGTCGGTGGGATCACGGGCGCCGGCGGTGCATCCTCCGACTTCAAGAACACCTCCTGGTTCTCCTCTGATTTCACGGCGTCTCCGCTAACTCTACTCCTCTTCTTGCTCGTGGCTTCTTTCGTTAACCCATCCTCCCTGGCCCTTTTCGCCTGAGACTGCGGTTTCTCATCCTTTAACTTGGGCTTGTGCCTGTACTTGTTATGCTTGCCTTCTAACTTCCTAACGTGGTTGTTCTTCACCTGCTTGCCTCCCGGAGTGACGTCCTGGACGCAAGGCTCGTCGTCCGGTACAGTCCCTTCCTTAGCATCCTCTCGACCAGGGACAACTGTCTGCTCATTATTCGTCAAAGCATTATGCGGCTCGTCGCCATCACCCTGCGATATGCCTACTCCCAATTTAGCCTGCAGACGGTTCATGATTTTCCGCTTCATCGTTTGATTCACAACGTACGGCGGAGGAACAAACTCGGGCATTTCGCGCAACAATTCGGCTGTGCTCTCGCGAGGATTTATCAAGTGGTCATAATCTACGTTAAATCTCTTGGGAACATATCCTGAATACGTCCAAAGTTGCCGGCCGAATACTTTCCGTGCACCGACAAAGAACGAAGGATCACCTCCGGGTATGCCAGTGACATGCGCCTTCGCCTCCGTTGGTAAATTGCAAGGGAGGCGAAATGGAGTAAAAAGCTCTGGCCTCGGCACCCCTTTCTCTTCGAAACTGACAGGCTTACTGGGAAGGTCGGCGAGTAACTGCGCGACCTCCGACTCCTCCTCTTTCTGCTTCTTCTTATGCTTGCATTTATCGCATACATAGGACGGTAGCAATTTCGGCACACGGCAGCAAGCGGTGTGAACCCAGACACCGCACTCGTCACATTCCACCATCTCCTCGCCATCGTCATGACTGACCCCGCAAGGACAGTCCACAATCCAAGACTCGTCTTCCCAGTCGTCTGACTCTGAGCTTGAGTCATTATGGCCTCTGTTCCCCATAGCTACGCTTGGTCCGTCTTGCAGTTCTTGACTACAAGACCCTATCTACGCCATGTCCTACCCTGAACCTATCCAGCGTCCAACCAATCATCAAAAAAGGAACTGAGAAGATGCATGGCATCCTCTAGGGGGCAAGCCCCGTTCGTTCTTCAACACATCTCCACAGGCCAGACATGTCCAGCCCCTGTAGACCAACTCTCGAGCCCTCTCCCGACCACATCTGTCCACGGTGACAGATGCTGGGAAACGAGCCGAGTGAGTTGCGAGCGTCGAAACAGCAAACACGACAGGCAAACGGGCACCCACATAAAGCTCGAGTTCCCTCCAAGGAGTCGTTTCTCTCGTCTCGTCTTCGCTGCTGCTGCTGCTCACTTCCCTCCTCGTTCCGTCCCGTCCCTTTTCATGTCGCCTATTCCTCCACCTGCTTTTGCGCCTCTTGCTCCCACTCTTACTGTTACAAAAACTCCCTCCCGGCACGGTCTCTCATCGTCCGCCTCTTCCTCCGACTCCTCTGCACGTAATTATCCACCCCGCCACCTGCGTCGCCACCACCTCCACCACCACCACCGCTCCTCCTGATCGTCGTTCCCTCGCCCATCCTCGTCCCGCTCCTCGCCATGTGCTGCTAACAGAAATTTGCCATTCCTACGTTACATTCGCCCTCTGCCAGATTCTCGTCGCGCACCCATGCTGCTCCTGCGACCGCGACCCCCACCCCGACAGACCTACCATCAACCCTAAACTCCTGCGCACCAACCCGACCTCGTCCTCGTCCTCGTCCTCGTCCGTCCAGCCCCCCCAGCCCCCGCTCCGCAACAACTCTCCCGGCCTCTTGCTCCGGACAAACAAACCAACGACGCGCACATGTTCTAAATCGATGCAGCGGCAGCTGCTGCCATACCATATCAGAAAGCGGTAGAGAGTATCGTCAGAGCCAGTACGCAAACGAGGGGTCGACCGAAAGAAGTGACAATCGAGGTCCCCTCCCGACGAGGGAAAGCGTCGGAGCGACTGAGAAGAAAAGAGTTTAGGGTTTGTCGTGCCACCCAAGACGTCGAGCGCACCAGCCCCAGCCTAGCCCCCCGACGCCAGACCTTCTCCCCCAATCACCACCTCCCCCGTGGCACTGGCTCCCCGGGTCCGGGCCAATCCGGTCGCTTTCTTTACTCCACCACTACCCCCCGCCCGACGCCTTCCCCTGCAGCTTCTGCGCCTTCCGCCTTTAACTTCCTCCGTCCCACTTCGCCACGCTGGAAAAGCCCCCATTTTACCCGCCCCCGTAACTTTCCCTCGACCCGCGCCTCCAATCGTTTTACACGGTGGACAGCCGTTTCGCGAGGGCCTGTTTTCGGGCCGCAATTATGGGCCCATGATTTGTTATGACGTTTATCAACCTTCGTACATGTGAACGTCTTGGACTCCGTCACATCCCCAGGGGCAGCGGTCAGTGCACATCCGCTGCACACTGAACGTTATGTTCGAGGAGGGGGCTCGATCTGCCCCCTAACCCCATCCGATTTTCGGGGACGGGCCAGATTGGCCCTGCAGCCTGCATTGACATCTACAATGGAAAATGGAGGTGCATGGTTCAATATAAAAAATATTGAGCATTTATACGGGCGGATATTGGGCATTTATACCAAATATCTCGCCTGGCCAAATTACGTTTTTTTCTTCCCACTCGTAAAATACGAAGTAGCAAAGTGTCTATTCTCGACAAGAACAATAACTCTTGTTTGTATCACACGTGCAACGTATTATTCCTTGTACATAATTCACTTTTGGATTATGGGTGTACATTCACACTTACAGGATTTTTTATTCCTACAATTATCGAATCTTTACAGTCGAAAAAATATCATTACGAAAGATGTTTGGCCTGAAGATGTAATGTAGAATTCCAAAAGCTAAAAAATTTGCTTTCAGAAAATAAACACCAAAAAGAAATTCTATTTTTCGTTGCTACATGAGCCGATCCATGTGACGTCCCTTAAACACGAATGTACCCTGGATGCAGAAGAAAAGTTGCGCAGCGTAAAACAAAGCAAAACAGCCAAATGTTTGGGGTGTGATGGAGTTTGGAGAGGAGAAAGCGACGACAGATGCGAAATTCCGACCTTGCTTTTCTTGCCCAAAATGCAGAAATCTGAACTAAGCTGTAACGCTATGTAGTTGTGGAGTATGTAGTGAAGCTAGCGACAAACATTGATAGGTTCTATTTATTACTTCTAGCGGGACTAATTAATCAAACTCCGGAACAAAAGTTGTCATCTTTTTCTCTGATCCAGGTGCCTCCCCAAGATCATTGGAGTATGGTGACTTCTTGCGGCGCTCTGGACTCCCGTCACCTTCGGCTTGTTGTTGAAATCCAAGATGTCTCTTTTAAAAAGAAATACCATCCCAACAAGTACAATAACCTCAAATGCATCATCACTCTGTAAGGCGTTATTTCTATAACTTATGATAATGCTTGTAAGTCACTTCTCACTTAGTAGATTTAAATAAATTTAATCAAAGAGAAACCCAACATTTTATCATGAACAAAGTTAAAATATTAAAATTCTACAGCGATAAATTCCAATTGATTTCAAGAAATATAGATAAATTTTAAAATAAATTTGGTTCAATCGAAGAATGCTATAGCAAACTCGCTCATTGTAATTTACCTTTGGTATAAGGAAAAAATATGTTCAGACATTGCTTTACATCAGATAAATTTCATATTTTTCTTGAAAAGTGTAAAGTTGATGTTTGAAATATGTCGGTGAAACTTTGATCCCTTCAAATTTATCTTGTTAATGTTTGGAGGGGATCACTATACTTCATCATTAAATAGGAAATCATAGCTCAATGATTTCATATCGAATCATTTTTCTTGATTTACAGAATGAAGCTAAGAATTAGAAATTTTCTTCACATTAATTAAGTTTTAATTTGCTATGGATCATTTAAAAAATTATTTTAATTTAATCTAGTGAAATACATTAAATTTAAATAACACTAAATTTTTAAATTCTAGTATTTAGCTTTAAAACTTGAGTATTAAAGCTAAACAGTAAGATTAAAATGCAGTGACATGTAAATTGACATGGACATGGAGTATGAACATGTTCTTTATCTTTGTTCATATCTATAACTTTGCATAATATATCCAGGTAAATATAAAACATACATTTATATTTCCATTTTTATAAAAAAATTTGTAAAAAAATAAAAAATTAAATCTATCAATGTTACAGTCATAATTATGATAATGTGCTTTCAAGTGTGGATAATCCATATTATTATTCATTGATCAAAGTGAATTTGATCTAATCTGCATGGAGTTATATCAGTAAAGGAATAATACTGCTAGGTTTGTTTTATTGCTAAGGCTACAAAACATATACTAAAATGAATGAGAATATATGTAAGGAACCAAAGCTGAGATACTAAGGTGAAAGAAAATAAAGCTGTACATGAGGAAACAATTATGGAAAAATAAAAAGTATCCACATTTCAAATGTCTATTAAATTTCAATGTATTCGGTTATCTGGAATTTAATTTCGATCTAAAAATTGTGAGAAGGCTTGCATCGTATGAATGAATGTATATACTAGTTTAGTTTAAAAAGATTTTAGCCCTGGAAAAATATTTAAAAATATTTTTTTTGTCCACTCATTCCACTGAATGCTTTCACGAAGAATTGAAAAAATTAGTTAGATTGAGTTACAGCGTAAACCAGGAACCCTCAAATCACATCGATATTCAATCCTGACGCACAGATAAATTTGAAAGAATATTATCAAAAATGTTGTTTAATCTATAGGTTGGCAATAAGTACTTCAAAGGATTTTACTAACAAAATATCAGTTGAATCTTATCTTCTTGGAACTCAAACTCAAAGAGAAAGAGTTACGGGGAAATGTGGAAATCCAAACTGGAGTTCTGAGTACCTCGCGCCGTACCCAACAGACAGGCGCAAACATAAAACTAATCTCAACATTGACAGTGGTAATTTTAGTCATAGGAAAAACATTAATATATAATAATACGAAGATGCCTCGGAGCAATTAACGTAGTGAATGCGAATTGGGGGTCAGCACTATGTCACCCGTTTGGTTTCACACCTGTAGGACCCGATGGAGCCTTTCCATCCTTTAGGCTGGATTACTCCGTACCTCACCCTCGATGGGAAAGCGGGAGCTGGGGGTGCGGTTACTCTTGCCGCCAACACAGTCCAACCTGCCGAAACGCCCAACTTTGACTACAGTTGTCCACTGTGTAATATTCTTGCTCGATGATGTTGGACCGACAGAACCTCCGGACACACGCTTCCCCCTTCAGTTGACACCTCATTAACTTGGGGGCATGATTCATCCTTGACAGAATGTATAAAACCGAAAATAGGTAAAAACAATAAGCCAGCGAATGTGGAGCTCGGCCGTTTTGGCAGCAAGCGCTGATAGAGGTTCGGAATATTTCCTTATTTCCGGGTGCAGTTTAATTAGGTCTCGGGCCATTTGACTTATAATAAGAAGGTATTCGCAGTGGGGCATGGAGAGAGGCTCTAATTATGGGCGAGGGATATAATTCAGAACCGGGACCCTCGAGGCAAAACGAGGGTCTCAGACGTTTGTCAGCATTTGGTGGCCGTCTCTCTCTCGTGCCCAACTTTGACGCGCTGGATGTTAAGTGCGCCTCCGCTTTGTTCGTTAATTCGTTTGAAGCGAAATGCGAGTAATTAATTAATATCAGCATCCGTTTATTTTAATTATTATTAATATGCGGGTTGCTGCGACATTATTTAGTCGAATAGAAGAAGGCGCTCGATGATGTTGAGGCACAGGAACAGAAGCGGCTACCGAGTGGAACCTGCACTGGCCTCGAAGGATTGTCCAAGCTTTTCTTTCAGCAGGAGATGCTTCCTCATTTCTCAATGAGGAACACGAGCAGTGCGACCTGCTGATCCACGAGACGGGAACTGTGAATGGGTCAGAGAGACTGCAGTCACTAAATGATGGAACATGGTGGAACTTAATGAATGAATGAAGGAAGGAAGGAAGCAAGGAGAAGAATTGGGAGTTTCCCACATGCGCTATGAATTTGTCACTGCCTTCCGAGGTGACTGCGGATGATTGCAACTGATAAATGGAGGGAGGAAAGCGGGAAAGGCAAACGTTCTCGGCACACACATTATTGGAAGCATTTGGAAAAGGCGAACGATTGCACTACTGCACCAAACAAACAAACAAACAAAGGTCTTTTGTTGTTTCTACGTGTTTGTTGGTGAATCGGAAAGAAAGGAAGGAAATGGTAAGAAAGGTCTCCGCCCCTATCACCTCCAAATCATCGCGGATGGTGCTTACGGACACAAACCCAATAGCGCTATCGAGATATCAAACCGTAAGGCTACTTGTGGTAGGCCTTGTGCACCATTCGAGCATGAAAAGAACATGAGTCAAACCATTATGGATCTTATAAAAAGGCAAAGCTTATTGTAATGGCTTGAATCAATACTTTTCATGCGCTTGTTAAAACATCTCCACCTTTCACGTTCAACTGGGTCTTACGAGGAGTCCTTTGAAGTAGAAAAAGTGGACAACGTGAGACATGAGATGACGCATATGTCAAAGGGCTGCAGATCGCGGATGTATATTTAGGGAGGCTAGGAAATAATTGCATGCAAAGAAAATTCTTTAGGCTGGCGAGGGGCGGGTGCACCAAAAATCATGCAGGCCGATTTGGAATAGGCACCAATGCTAACATGAATACATGAAAAGGCGACCGGAGAAGAAAGCAGGAAGCTTCTGTGCCTTGTCCGGGTAATTTACCGACGGCCATAATCCCAACGACTTTTCTGATTAAAACAGCCGGTGGGCCCAGATCGCTGAGAAGATTAAATTATACGAAAGCACCTGATGCATCCGAACAAACCTGGCCCTATGACCCCACCATCTTGTGTTTGACGAGAAGCTTTGTTACGATGCCCAAAAAGATGCAGGTTTGGACGATATGGACAAGACTACTGTATGGTCCACAATATCTAAAAGTTAAATCGAAGACATGATTGAAGTACACTGGCGCTTGCTTGGTTTCACGACATAATCACGCACTGTGACGCACAGTTTTTACGACAGTAATTAGAGTGCAGGTGGGGCAAGTATCCAATCAAATCCACAAGTCTTGTGGCAACGAAACATCCACTCAATACGCCAACCGTTGAATTGCGAATTCCGTTGTTTCCTCTTACCTTCTGAATATTGTTTCCTTGACAAAAAGACGAGCACTGTTGAGTTTTATTTCCCCACAGTCCTCGCATTGAATAATAAATAAATCGCTTTGTGCTGCCGATGTTCAATAAGGGTTTTCTGTATATCGATGCCAGCTATATTTAATACTATTCTAGTATTAACGACAGCTGAGAATTATAAAGGACAAATTAAAATATTCATAAGAATGGGAAGACTTAGAAATCAGGAGACTATGTATCGCCTTTTCCTTTGGGAACGAAGGTTATGCTTTTCTTCCTTTTCGTTTTCATCTTTTGCAAGTCGCGGCAATATTGTGCGATGAGAGAATATGATGAGCCTTTCTGTCAAATGTGTCCGGAAACTTCACCTGATTGCTTGAGAGGTATACCACAAGCTTCTGTGGCTGAGATGGAGCCTTCTGCTTCTGTGGCTTTAAAGGAGCTTTCGGTTTATTTCTTCTTTATTTCTTCATTAAGTATCGTTCATGCTAACTTACTAACCATGACATTACTGCTTGCATATTAAACTGCCAGATTAGCCCATTAATCAAACGATGAAAGTGAGATAGAATTTATGCAATATGTTCAGGTTTGAGAAGTGACCCTTTTAGCCTTGATTTCAGGAGACACTCACTCGACGTGGAGGCAATGCCAGGGGATGTTGCTCCGCCCTCGTGGTTAGATCACTCTTAATTAGCATCTCCACCCCAATACTCTTTAGGCATAGGAGGCTCTGGAGTCACATCCATGTTGGTCACCTCAGAAGAGTTCGAATGTCATATAATTCTAGAAGAACGATGATTTCTGTTTATTCATTGTTACAATATGGGGAAAAAAGGAACAGATAGCGACACAACTCCTGGTCTTGCAAGACTGGTACATAGAGCAGCACCGGTCGGTATATACTATATACCGAATGCATAGCAGCGGGTGCCCTCGAGTTGTTATACGGAAGAGGTGGCTTTCAGGAAGCGAGAACGTGTACTGGAGTTCAGGGGGAGGATTAATCGTAGTAACAAGTGCCGGGGCCATCATTGTTACCGCGTCTGACTCAATTACCGTCACGGAGTTACCGCGGCGTGGAGAAGAGCGAGACGGAGAGAGGGAGAGAGGGAGGGGGGAGAGAAGCGAGAGTGCGCGAATGGGTGTGCGTGTGCTTACGAGGCGCAGCGGTGGGGGCTGGTGAGCCAGAGCCAGAGCCAGAGGCAGCCAGCGACCAAAGCAAGCACTTCCGTCTCTTCTGTCCTCTCCTCTCCTCTCCTGGCCCTCGTGGAACGTCTGTCAAGGCCTCGGCTGCCAGGCCAGGCCGTGTTTAGTCCCTCTCCCCGCCTCACTCCGTCGCCGACCCACCTTCCATCTCTGCCACCCGGCCCCAACCCTCGCTGGTTCTTCTGTCACTAGCAAGCAGGTAGCACTGCAAGGGCGCCTGGGTCTGATTCCCACTCTGCCCTCTCTCTCTCTCTCTCTCCCTCTCCCCCGACCCCTCCCCCCGCCCCCCACCGTTGGCTCGTGCTGTTGTGTATAGTTTGGTGTGTAATGTGCGTTTCTGAATCTCGACGTCCGCTTCAGGACCCGTCGGCTGCATTGGGGTCGGCCACGAATCAGCCCTCGGGCTCTGAAGACTGCAACGTCGTCGTCGGCAGGAGAGGTGTGGAAGACGCGCTGTTTTAGATCCTTGGTAGTGCTGAATGTAGGTTTGTGAAGTTGTGTACAGGAGGAGCGGTGGAGATGTGGGATTGAGTCTGTCTCCAATTCCGGCGTGCTGTGGCTTGTGTGATCGGCAGCATTCCGGGTAGAAGATTGTAAGAAGCGAGCGAGCCGGCCAGCCTCGGGAGCGTAGGCAGGAAGCGAGATCGGTAGAAAGTAATTGTTGATTAGGAGGAAGGTGGAAGGAACGAGGATCGAAAAGGTCTAGAGATCGTTAGGGCTGCACAGGTGCGGTAGACGAGCACTGAGGACGAGCACGAGAAGTTGTTGTGGTGATCATTTCAGTCGTGGTCGTGGTCGTCGTAGTGGTTGTGGTTGTGGTCGAGAAGGCGAAGGGAAACGAGGGATTGGGGGAAGATGAACTTCCTGAGGTCCGGGCTGTTCAGCGACTCGGAGAGCAGGCCGCCACATGCGACGAGCGGGGAGGAGGAGGAGGAGGCGAAGGAGGCCGGACGAGACGACGGGATGAGAAAGGACGAGCAGCAGGCGGAGGCGATGGCGAGTCCGTGGAGTTTCGGCTTTGGGAGCCTGGTGAAGACGCTGGCGTCGAAATCCGGGGAGGTGCTGCAGGCGTACCAGCGGGATCTGCACGAGTTCGCCGACGGTTTGAAGAAGGAGACGGAGGTGGTGGCCGAGGTGACGGTGCACGCCGTGAAGGATCTGCCGCACACGCTCGAGACGGGCGCCGTGGTGGCGCAGGAGTCGCTGGAGACCGTGGGGCAGACGCTGGAGGATTTCGGGGGGTCGATATGGCGAGGGACGACGGAATTGATCGCCTCGGTGAAGGAAGCGGTGCAGAAGGTGGACGAGGAGGCGGCCGCCAACTCCAAGGCCAAGGCGAATGTGGCGCGCGAGGCCTCGGCCACCCCGGCGGCCAATTGGAAGTACAATCGCTACGAAGCGCAGGTCAATGCCATGCAGCGCGACAGCAGCACCTACTGCGACGAGCCCGAGGACGAGGACGACTTCGCGGCCTGGCGCTCGTCCTTCCGCCTGAGCGAGAAGCAGGGCGACATCGAGGCCGTGACCAAGGACAACGCCTTCATGCAGGAGCTCCAGGCCCGAATCGTGCCCCTGATCGTCGAGCACGAGGTCTTCTGGACCCGCTACTTCTACCGCCTGCACAAGCTCCAGCAGGTCGAGGACGCCCGAGCCGATCTCGTCAAGCGCGCCACTCTTCTCGAGGACGAGGAGCTCACCTGGGACGTCGAGGAGGATCTCGACGACCTCAAGAGCCCGGCCGAGCCCCGCTCGGAGGGCGCAGCCTCTTCTGCTGCCCCCGCCTTCGCCCCCGCCCCCGCCATCGCAGCCGAGCCGGTGGCCTCGTCCGGCCGGGGCAAGGAAGTCGCCGAGCGAGAGGTCGCTGGCCCCGCATCGCCCTCGGGAAGCGGCGTCAAGGCCGAGCACCATCAGCACCATCAGCACCAGCAGCACCCGGAGATCGCCCCGGAGGCGTCCGCAGGCATTCCCGACGAGGAATCTGTGAGCGAGGGGAGCACCGGGAGCGATTGGCTGGTCGTGCAGGACGAGAAGGATCAAGGGGCGGGCGATGACGGAGCCCAGCAAAAGCCGGGCAAGGAAGCCGTGCCATCGGTGGTCGGGAAAGGACGACAATCTGCTGATGAGGCCGACGAGCCGGAGCTGGAGGATATTGGTGACATCGCCGTGGACGCCATGCCCCGAGGCTCCTCCGATTCGAGCAAGAGCAACAAGGTTGTAGATAAGAAGCCCGTTGCCGACGAGACCGAGGACTGGGGTGACTGGGAGTGACGATGTACTCTAAGCGTAAATAATTGAGCGAACGGCGATTGAACATGATTTGAAGCCTATTGTTATTTGTGAATAGGGGCGGTTTTTCCTTTTTTTTCTTCAGTAGCTCGATCGGTCTCCGGAGGCGAAATGTGATAGTTAAAATAAACTTAGCGGATCATCATCTAGTGCAGGTTTCGAAATTACGAGCGATATAGGAGAGTAGGACTCATTACATAGTCGGACTGCTCTCGGCTCTCCACTCTGCTCCGCCCGGTCTGAGCAGCAGCAGCAGCAAGAGGTGGTGGTGGTCGAGAGTTGGGAAAGTTCCAGCCTGGTTCTTTTGACATTCAACCGTGTGCAAGCACATTTGTATAGTCTCATTGCAGCAAAAAAATTTGCTCATAGGTTTCCAGAGGTCTTTCGAGTCAGGCCGAGGAAACCTCTAGGTCATTATCATATTAGCGTCATGGTTGCAGCCTGTATCGTCAACGTGACCAATCTCGATGACATTGTCAAAGAAGGTGCCTGATTCGTACGACTGCCTTTGACTTTGGATTCAGATCGAAGGGATCATTGCTTCCACAGGGGAATTTCCTGATTGTAACGATCTCGGAAGAGATATTTTCCGGACTGGGATTGCTAATGACTCATTTCACATTTTCTCACCCTGGCTCGTGTCCAAAGTCGGGTCTTTGTCTGGGTTCTGCAAAGTTCTTCACACCGCTTTCAGCCCCTCGAGAATTAGTCGAGGAGACCATGCTCTGTTTTCAACTGTGGATGCCTCGGCCAGAAGAATCGTGACGAAGGAACCGGGCCTGTTGGAGAGCAATGATTCCCAACCTTGGATCATCCGACCCCCCCCCCCCCCCCGCCCCCCCGCCCCCCCCTCACTCATGTACTTCTACTGTGGTCGATGTCTTCATCTGAGGGAGTGAATGGCTCTTGTGGTCCCGGAAGTTCCTACCATTTGGGATGCTGAGAAATCCCAGGACGAGGAATCAGTCCTCTTCTGCATAAGTTGGGGTGATGCAGGGCACAATCATTCGTCCGTTGTGCCTCGGTGTCTCGGGGAAAGCAATGACGGGCGGGCAAGATACTCACAGTGACACACAGAGCAATCAGGTATGTAAGCGCCATCTCTTCTGTTCATTCCGGTCTCACTTGATGTGGTGGGCATTGTCTGTGCATTCGTCTTTGCGTGTTTAGAAGAAGGGAGAGGAGTGGAGACTGAATCAACAGGCAAACCATCGGTTGCGTGCAGCACAAGGTGCTGCGAATTGCGTTTCATCATCAACACGGCATCCAACATCATGCCAGAGATACGAACGAATGAATAGAATTTCGGATCAGGGTTTAATTGCCTTCATGCATCTATCCGAAGCCCCACTGGCCGTTTGCTACTCCCGAGTACATCTAGGAGGATCATCACACTTGCTGCTACTAACGTCCGCCGCCAGTACCTGTCCTTCGCTGAAGCGGGGAAGCTTGGGCCGGCTCCTCATGCTACAAGTGCACGTACGAGTGATGTAGGGACGCTAAGGAGATAGGGATCGATGAAGCGTGGGAAAAAGTCGTTTCAGCAGTTGTGTGAAATGATCTGGTTTGCGCCTGAAGTTCCTGCATCATTTCAGATCGTATCTCCAGCAGAGAAGATCCGCTACAGATCTTCTCGTCTCTTGCTGCAGCCGGTGCTTTTTTTTGTCCGCTACCAGACTCCGAGCGCTGGTGCGCCGGAGTAGTGAGAACTCATTCCACTTGTGGAGGAAGTGTACACTAGAATTTGTGTGCCGAAGACTGGTTCAAAGATTTATGTTATTTCCATACAGATCCACAGACCTCGGAAATGATTCCGACTGCATGATTTGTATGTACCCAATCAATCACTGGAGCTGCTTTCAAACGCATGTACACCCTGCCGGGCTTCTGTGTCGGAGGAGGAATCCCTCACTTTCCACTAGACTTCTGGAGAAAGCTGTCTGCTATTCCGGCTGGGGTTGAACTGCTCCTCCACTGAACTTATTTTGTCTGTTACGTTTGTTCCGAAGCGTCATCATCACATACCGGGGCAAATATGTGATCAGATAGATTCTCGTGATTCCGAGGCAAACATTTTCCATCGTCGTCACGTCGGTCTCTATCGGCGTGGCTTAGTAGTCCAGCTCGACTGAAGAAAAGAGATTTTCTGTGCTTACAACGTTTGTCATCTACACCCTGAGTCCGATTCGAGGTGTCTGCAGAAAGAATGTTGGACAGTGTTGCCGTGCCTCACTTCTATCCTTGATTGCACTGTCGTCACAACATCCGAATCAAGCTCGAGGACTTTCGGCATGATGATGGATGGATCCAAATGTACCCTTGAAGATACATATGCATGGAACGATCGAAAGAGCTTCCAGATTCGCCGGGTTGAGCACGGAGGAGGAGGAGGAGATGGTGGGGAGATTCTGGGTCCACCTTTACCCCGTCCATGGTGGAAATTCTTGCTGCCTGGAAAGAAATCCTGCAACTTTGCAAAGTCTCGCTGCAGTAAAGATCACGAAACCTTCAGTGCATCGGGACTTCGTTCCACCTTTCCCTTCTTGCGAACTGTAACCTGCGACCTTTGTGTTTTCCCTCGTGCGTGCGAGGAAGATCTGAGTCATCGAGACCCATGCTCTCTGGTAAACGAAATGTAGCAGGAACCGCTGAAGGCTGAAAGAGCGTGCTAGCGCTGGCTTGCTCGCACCAGCTTGTGCTGGGACGTGGAGGACGTGCGAACTCTCCGGCAGCAGTGTCTCTTTTCTCGTCCAAAGTCAGGCTTACTTTATTCCGATGCCTTACCCAGAGCGTTGAATAGACGATTGCCATGTGCTCAGAGTCGTCATTCTCGGATGGCTAAGCATTACCTTCAAATGGATGAGGATTCACCAACTAATGTCATATCCTGGGAGATATATCCTCGTTGACATTCGATCAGTCAACGGGATCGGGCGTCAGCGTCAGCTGTTCCCGTTAAAGTCACGATGGCACGTCTTCGAGCTCGTGTAAGGTCTGATGTTCGACAGATCAGAGTGGAGCATAATGTTAGCTGTATATGCCACCTCGAGCGGACTTGAATCACTGTCAAGAGATGGTCTTTCTTCCAGAAGAAAGTAAACTCAGGAAGTCTGCATGCTCTCTGACAGTCTAATGGATCAGAAACGGATTCACGGACGTGCGGATTGTATTCTACGCAGCATACAGTGATTGGAGAGGTCTGGTTGACATCGTATGAGCAGATAGATCCCTTCTCGTCAGCTTTGATCGTGCTTTTACTGAGAGGGCAATCAGATCTTCGAACAATTTTCAAACCAAATTTTTTCTTGGTGTGGGTCCAAAGGCATCCCAGTTTTGTGCTCTCGAGTGGGAATTCTCTTTGAGCTCGTTGAGGCCTTGTTCCTCTCGATTCACTTGCACGTACATCGGTGCGCTCGTTTACGTAAAAACACAATTGAACCCATACATCAACTCCAAAAGTAAAACAGTTGATTTCATTTCAAATTCACACAAAATTTACGCCTGAATTTGTATCGAGGAAAATGTTTGTACATGCACGGACAGACCTCTTCCATTCTAGCAGTACAAGAACAATGTGAGACCAGATTGTGGAGAGCATGGTTTAAAGACATGCACTTAGGAAGAGTAAAGCAGAGCACAGAGACGAGGATTGAAAGATATTTACAAGTTCATATTCTGACAAAAAACCAAATGTGATAACTTACCTTTTCGTCTTTTAAGGTAGTAGTTGCTGTGGCTGGACTGCTTAGGGCAGTAGGTGGAGAACGTTTAGGTACAGAAGGTGGGACGCTTGACTTGGTGTGCCCAGAAGGTTTTGAAGGTTGCAAGGTTGCTTTCGATCCAGAATGTTTACTTTTTGTTTTCACCACAACGTTCCCATGTTTTGATGAAGATGGCGGCTTAGAGATAGTTGGAGAGACCACTTTGCCAACCACTGAGCTTTTACTGTGAGATGAGTTCTTCCCGCTCTCTTTATTGAGAGCACCTGAGTAAGTGCCACCATGGTTACCACCTCGAGACGTCAACGTTGAGAATTTCGAGCCTACATCACTCGACTTTGACACATGTAAGCTGGATGGATGACCTCGAGGATGCTTTTGCTGTATTAACAGCTTTAGAGGAGAGAGGAGATGGAGAAGGCGTCGGAACAGATTTAGAAGTAGTCAGAGAAGCAACTTGCTTGCTGCCGGACGTCCCAGAAGATGAGACCTTTGAACCTCCGTGTATGCTTGAAGATTTCAGTGTATTTCCTCCTGAGAAGCTCTTTTGAGGTGGAGGCGAACCTGGAGCCTTGTTGCTATGAGGTTGAAGTTTTGAAGACGGTGTAGTTACAAGCGGTGATGTTGGAGACGATGAAGTTCCAGACGATAAAGGACTTTTCGTCTGCCCTGCCAACGCTTTTGAATCCGTTTTCGTCGAGATCGGCACCCGGACGTTGTCTGCGGCCTTCTCAGAACTATGAATGGCAGACGCTCCCGTTTGCGCACTCGATTTACGACTGTAAGTTCCGACCTCGTTGTTTTGTCTTGCTTGTTTGACAAATAGCAAGAGAAACTTTCTGCTCCGTCGCATCTGTGATACTACTGGCTCCGAGAACTGGAGGATGTGAAACAACTCCAGGGGAAGGTCCCTCACTTCGAATCTGTTCCTTGATTTCTGCTGGTTGGCCTTTCAAGCGTTGGGTTGACTCTGTTTCAAATCTGTGTGTAGGGATCTGAACCCCCCTAATCTACTGAAAAATCACCGTCCACACACACACAAACGAACACAAGAATTTGTTGACGAGGTTCAGCTTGAAAGCCTAGTCCCCGCGAACTACTCAATGAAGGTAGTTCGAGTATATCAATGTCTTCAGACTTGACCTTCCTACAGTCATTACAAGATTTCTATCCGGTGAGAAATACACACAGAAATAATCACTCCTCTTTCCCGAGCAAGACTAACAAGACTTGTATCCCCTGATCCGCTGACTGACTTTATAACGTCCTGACTGACTTTATATCGTCTTGACTTATAACGGTACCTTATACCATCAAAGCATCAGAATGAATCAAAGCCGTAAATCCCTATACAACCCATAGGAGATTGACTCATCAGCAAGCTATTAGTGAATAATAAAAACGACAAAAACTCTGAAAGAAAAACTACACTGAACTGAAGCTGATATCTCACACCGTGTGCTGGCGCGGAAGACTGCGACAGGAGAGAGACATCATGTGACCCCTCTTGAGATTTATGTAATCCTTCAAGCTCCTTCGAAGCCTGTGTCGGAGAATCATGTGTATGTGCTTGCAGTGTACCGATTTCCTCACTATGACTGACCTTCGGAAAAGCAGAACCACCTGTAACGCCTGGAGAAAGAGGAGATACAACTTTCTGGGCTGAATTAACTCCAGTTTGTGCAGGTAACGTAGGACTCAATACCGCCCTCTGTTGTTGGAAAATAAATTTTTCCCGTACGGATGCAGGAAGACAACCCGATGTTTGAGCTGAGCCCTGCCCCCTTGTCTCGGTAACCAATGGTGTGGTCAAAGACTTCGTGGTTTTCTTCTCACCTTGAGTATCTGCGGTAACGAAGAATATTTAGATAAAGCATTGTATGTAGAACGTCCAACGACTAAACCTATAGACTTCGATAACAGTCGATAGCACATCCGAGGTGACAGTTTTTAGTAGTCAGTATTTGCACATCGAACAGATTCAGGAGCAACGTTGTCACCTGATTTGAAAGCATCTGCTGAAGGCAAAAACTTCGAATCCGTACCACTTTTACAGGCCAATATCTCTGCAGATTCTGCATGAACAGGCTGACGCTTGAGGGCCATTTGTTCGAATAAATCCAAAACCTGAAGCACAGCGACAAAGGAACTAAAACTTGAAATCGACTTCATGATGAGGTGTCGAGACTAGTGCTAGCCAAATTCCACGCATTCCAGATCATCTGCCAACGATGATTCGAGTCTACCAAATATGAGTGTATGATGTACATCGAAACTTGCAGTGTCAGTTAAAAAATACTATAGCTGAATTATCAACTGTTGAAGTTTCTTTCAGTTGTCGCCCGGTTCAGAAATGTTTTCGCCGACTGAATTTGATTAAAAAACCAACACAATAAACAGAAACAGTGTAGATAATCTGCACTCTACCCATTTGATTTGACTCAGCAAGCTACTGCTCTAGTTTGCATTTTATACGCAAGCATCGATCACTGTCCAACTGCCCGGTACTGCCCTGCTTGACTCCACAGATTTGACAATGTAAGAAGTAAATCCATACAAATCTTCACGTCCTCGTTTTCATTCCAGTCACCTCTGGACACGGATTTACTAAGACCCCTATTAGACAGCTTATTGGTGTGACGTTGACTGCAAAAAACATTAAAGTCGTGAAGGGATTGAATGTGTATTGCTACAGATCATGTTGAGAGAAAGTTGAAATCGACACGATGGGATTACTCCATCAGATCTACAACAGGTGGCAGAGAATTCTTGTAATAGAAACCGGCGCGGTGTGGGACAAGGAATGATGCACTGTATGCTTACGGAGTTGTTAAGCCTTGAGTTTACACATCCCAAAGATGCTGCTAGCGCAAGTAATTGGCTACCCATCCTAAAGAGCTTGAGAACTGTGAAGTAGAAATACTGGTGTAGTTGAGGGTGAAGGTGGGAAGGCTGAGATTTTCCATATATGCTAAGCTAAGGACAATTAAACAGCTGGTTAAGTAGGAATTAGTCAACTTACAGTCATATCTGATAATTTAGCCATATGTAGTTATTAAGGTTGATGGATTTTAGGAAATGTATGTACTAATGTAGATATTTTTCGTGTGTTTTTTCATCATTGTGTATATTGTGTTTTTTTTGTGGTTGTCATTATGTGATATGTACTGATTTTCACGTTGTTGTTATATAAGATTCATATTCTTTCTTTTCTTCACTTATCACAGGATAATGTGTTTTGTAATAATATACGTTAATGTGCACGTTGTTAATTCATTTTTGGTTTGAACATTATTCATTGGTTTGTGTTGAGGTATGGAGGTGCTTTGAATGTTCATTCAGGACATAGTAAGAGATTTCTACACAGTAAAGTAGAGTTGAGCATGCTTTGCATTTCCAAGTCTCTAGGAACTCAAGACGGTCAAAGAAACATACAAAAATACAAAAACACTGCCATCGTAGGAGAAATTTGTAGTTTTGATCATGAACAGAAGCACAAAGTGATGAGCCGATGTAACGGCCGATCACTGGCTACAGCTACACTACTCAATCGAAAAACAGGAAACTGGGAGAAAGTTCTATTCAGTGCTGGACCCAGTGACAAAAATCTTCCCGCAATTCAGATTGTTTCAAGCCCCGTGGTACAGGTCGCTCGGTGGAAGGTCCTACAATCTAACTATGGTACAAAAAGGCATCTGTTGTAGTGTCGACGAATTGAAGAGAGCGCGATCTAGTTTCCGGGGGTGAAGTTGGTGGCATAGGCCCAGGCGTTGTTGACGGCCGGGTCGGCCAAGTGGTCGGACAGGTTCTCGATGGGGCCCTTGCCAGTGACGATGGCCTGCACGAAGAAGCCGAACATGGAGAACATGGCGAGGCGGCCATTCTTCAACTCCTTAACCTTGAGCTCGGCGAAGGTGTCGGGGTCCTCAGCCAAGTTCAGGGGGTCGAACTGACCTCCGGGGTAGATGGGGTCGCTCACCTCTCCCAGGGGTCCTCCTGCGACTCTGTATCCCTCGATGGCTCCCATGAGCACGACCTGGCAGGCCCAGATGGCCAGAATGCTCTGGGCGTGGACGAGGCCAGAGTTGCCGAGGTAGTCCAGACCTCCCTCGGAGAAGATCTGAGACCCGGCCTTGAACCAGACTGCCTCGCCGAACTTCACTCCGTTCTTCGCCAGCAGCTCGGGGGTCACACATCCCAATGCTCCCAACATGGCCCATCGGGCGTGGATCACTTCCAATTCACGGTTCTTGGCGAAGGTCTCGGGGTCGGCAGAGAGTCCGGCAGTGTCCCAACCGTAGTCACCGGGGAACTCACCGGTCAAGTAACTTGGGGTGGCACCGGAGAATGGGCCCAAGTACTTGGGTCGGTCCTCACCATACCTTCACCACGACGAGCGCAACAACATTAGATTTTCCCTGTGAGATTAGACAGGCAGGTGCCCGGATCGAGCATTGGAAGCGACGATGAGACAGTAGATGAGCAGAATCGCGCAGAGGCTGTATTAAAAAACAAGGTCGATGGGAAGTGCTTACCAGATGCTGGATGACGCACTCTTGGACGTCTTGCGCATGACAATGCGGGCCTCTCCGACGTTCACCTTCGAAGCGAGCGCGTTGCTGGAGGCTCCGAGAGCCTGGCCGGCGAAGGTAGCAGAAGCGCATGCTGTCACGGCGGCCATGGTGCTGGGACTCAGGTGCTGAGAAGTAATGTGGGAGCAGAGAGGCGAGAATTGCAAGTGCTTCTTCGCGGGCCAGAGTCGGGGGCTATGTACGAGAGAGTGGTGCTGATGTGGTGGAGGGGCAGAGGAATTCTCGTGCCAAGTGCGCAGGGCCTTGCGCTGCCCACATGGCGAGTTCTGGATGACTGGGGGCCCGAGCGATCGAGAGGCCCAATGGCGCTCGGGGCCTCCAGACTTGCCTCCAGACGCTATCTGAAGCGGATCTCTTCGGCCCGTCGATCTCCGCATTCCGATCAATCTGACGGTTTTTTCTCGCCCTGTCAGGTCCATGATAGCGGACCACCAACTTCGCAGAGCTTCTGATAGTTGCGCTCGATTCTCTCAGAGACGGCGCGGCCCATTGGTGCTAAACAAGCGCCAATGCGCAAGTTCCCATTCCCTCGCAGCCCATTTGCACTTATCTTCGCGAGTCCGGAAGATTTACGTCAGGTAAATACTCTTATTTCTGCTAATGAGTAAATGTTGTAAGTAACTCTCACGTCGCCAACTTCGATGTTACCAACCATCATGTTACTCAGATCTTACACGTTACACGGATCTATACATGACATGGTGAGAAGTGTTAAACAACATAATACGCGCATACATAAACACATGTCTGTTTTGAGATTAAAGTTTACTGGGAAAAATTTCAGTAATGTTTCTCTATAAGCTTTTCCGTATTGTTCAGTAAAAGTACACCAATGAATATAATATTGAGAAAGAAAGAGAATTGTCTGTTCGCCTTCCCTTATATACAAGATATAGCTTTGCTGCATACAAAAACTAAGTTTGATCCTAACTTACCTTGCTTCCTACTCTCTTTAAACGTAAAAATATAACTGAAAATATTGTTCGTAGATATTATCATGATTCGTGATTCAGCTAATATCCTTCTAAAAATCTCAACCGTTTGGAGTCACTTGATATATGAGTTACTTCCTGTTCTCTCCACGACTTTGACGCATGGAGTATAGCTCAGGTTACGAAGCGATCCATGTTAAAGTTTTTTAACAAAATCTCTGACTCATGAAGTATAGCTCTAGTTTACAAAGGGATCCATGTTAAAGTTTTTATTAACAAAATCTCTGCAAAGTAATTATATATTTTATGGAAGTTGCTATTTCCAAGACATGTTAACGGGGAGATTGTTTAAAGTTAATTCAGGTTTTGATTTAACTCAAGTTAGTTTAACCTCAGTTAGTGAAACTGGTTAGAATTGCACTATATAAGAGAATCTATGAAAGTCTGTAAAGATAACTTTAAAGATTTTTGTTAGTAAAATATTTTTTTGGACTTAGTCTGCAATGATAAACAACTTATGTCCAATGTCAATTAGCTTTGAACCTCAAGGCGTTCTTATGTTGACTTGTGTTGGATTGTTTTTGTGACAATTGTGAAACAAAAATTTTATAATTGAATATAAAAAAAAGTAATACTTGTATTAAGTTATGTATGGATAAAAGAAAACTAAAAATATGAAACCAGATTGCATTTCAACAAAATTATGTGAAATATGTTAAAACTTGCATCCACACAATAGTAAATATCACTAGAGAAAAAGAACCTGGAAGCATTTATTGAAAAATGACACAAAAGTTCACTCATCATGTTAAATAGTTTTGCAAACATTCATCAACAGTACAATCAACGGTCCAACACTAGACAACAATAGAATTCCTGATCCTAGAAACCGAGTCAAGTATTCCTAATAGAGTTTAACACTAACAGTCTTCACTTTAACGCATGTTGTGGAGAAAACAACATTATCAAACTATATAATTACTCCGCAATAAAACTAGTATTAAATTAAAAAAAAATCCTTCATTAAACTATAGCTAATTAGAACTAAGCTGCAGCCAAAACATGATATAATAAAAGTATATATAAGTAATTAAAATGCTAGTAAACTCTTTTTTGTGTTCATCATGAAAAATTTTCATAGCAGCACAATGTATACTAAAGTTTTTAAAATTAAGTACTTTGATCAACACATAAATTAGATTGAATTTACTGTAAATCTTGACTAGCTCAATTTTTTTTATCAGATTTGCATATTTAATAAAATGATATATGATATGAATTTGTTTCATTTTTTTGTTCATCATTTAATTTTCACAAAGGTTGAATGCAATTGGCTATGATAGTGAAGATTGACAATGATAAGAGAAGATATAATTTATCTAATGGAATAGTTTTTTTGTTGTTTCTCATACCGCTACATATTCAACTTCCGTTGTAGAACTTCTACGAGATAGATTTTCAACTAATGCATCCATCATCAAGTGTAAACATATACCCAATGGGGGGTGATTCTTCCACCATTCTGAGTTGCTTTTCCCATACTCCCCCTTTCTCTGACAACATTCTATGTTTACTCGACACCTACCTATACGCACGTAGCCTTCAAGACATTGACATCGTTATAAGTGACATCAAAAGGATGGAAAGAGCAAATCAACAAGGTTGGAGTATAAGCCCCTCATATTCAATTTTAGATCTACTGTGCTCTAGATGTTCATATTCAACATCAACGTAGTCTAACAAAAATTTGACATTGTATAATAAATCATATTAAAATAAATCATAATTTTTAGCTATTTTTAAATATTTGAAGAATCATTTCATTGTTTCCCAATGTACATTCATTAAATTCGACGTGTATTTGTTTACCTTGTCCATTGCTAGAGCAATATTAAAACCTTGTGCACATCATGAGCATGCCGACAACTTTGTTATAAGAAACACATGACATCTTTCTTTTCTCAATGACATCAACTCGACATTTAGTTGCAAAAAGTTTGAAATATGATGCCAAGGCAGTATTAACTACTTTGGCATAATGTGTTAAATTTATCAAGAATTTATCTTGTTAAAATATTTCACAGCAATCATTAAATTATAAACATAAAATGTCTGTTTGACTCAATCATAAACTCTATTTCATCAAATTTCTATAAGTGTTCATCCATAATATATTCTAGGACTTATCAAAATCATTTATCTTAAATGCAAACTTCAATTAGTTCTTGCAGATGTCAACCAAGATGAACATTTCTTCTACATAAAATAAAAAAATAATAAGATTGAAGATCTCATCATTACCCTTCATGTACCTTAATCTCTCTCAAATAACATACATAATATTTATTCATTTGTTGCAATTTATGAACATTTGCACATTCAAGATCATACACAGTCTAAAAAATCTTGTGCATTCATAAACTCATCAAATCTTGCACTTCAGTTCCTAGAGTTTCATTTATACATATAATGATTTCAATAATCTACAAATCGACTTCTCTTGACCTTTTCTTCCTAAAATCAACTAGTTGTCTCATATAGACTTTTTCCTTTACAGATACATACAAAAATGTTGTAACTACATGGATCTCATCCATAAGAATATTAAATATTGCAGCAAATGCACATAGAAGACAGATTGTAGCATACTTTGCTACAAACAAATTTTTTTTATTGTAGTTTATACTTTTTTCTTGTATAAAATTTCTAGCAATCAATCTAGCTTTGAATATTTTTCTCTTATCACCCGTTGAATACTTTAGACTATACATCCATTTGCAATCAATTAAAGCATAAATTTTTTGTACCTCCACTAGCTCCGAAGTCTTATTATTCATTAACTGTACCATATCATGCTCCAAAATAACAATCTACTCAAGCTTATTGATAGAGGTTTGATCTTCTCCATAAAAAAGGGTTATTTTTTCTCAATATTAACACAATGTGATCACCACCCTCCATATATCACAATTTTTAAAATTGGATGAATCGTTTCATAATACATATTTTTTAGTAAGTTTACTAATCCGATTTGATCAGTGACTATTGGAAGATTTTGATCTTTCACTACTGTTTGGTGTAGATACTTGAGGTTCACCAACAATAACCTGCTACTTTAATTTCTATTATTCAAGAATTTGCTCCATCTTCACCGGAATTTCTCCTTGTGTCTCATCATTAATAACATAATTCCAAAACAACATCCTTGAATGGAGATTTTTCTTTTTTAATACAAAGTTTTGAATACCTCAAATACTCTTTCAATGATATTGGCTCATTGAAAAACACATTTTCATTGACAATGAATTTATAGGCTATTGAATCCCATAGCCTATAACGCTTCACAGCACAGATACAAACATTATGAATTTAGTATACAACTTAGTCATATTCTACTTAGAGTATAAGCTATACAACATTAAATCTTCAAAAAACTTAATTAGCCATCCATTTGTGTTTGAGTTCAAATTATGTCAAGACATTGATTGCTTTTAAAAGAAAAGTAACCAAAATATAGTACAATATTCATTATTTAAGCCAAAAATTCATATGAAACACTGGATTGGTTTAACATCCTACGGAACTGTTCCAACACCAATCGATTTAAACTCTAAATTTTTTTTGTGAAATATAAATCATGATAAGATGACAAGTAATTTTCTTCTTTTTGCAATAACTCTGAAACTCCTCAAAAATATACTACATGCTCTTGTGTCTGATTTGAATCTGAACTTAGACTTTTCCAACTTGTGAAAGTTATAAACATTTTAGACTTGTGTGTGAAGAAATAAACTCACATAAATCTTGAGTAATCATCAATATATGATACATAGTAAAACTTTTAAGAAAGTGAGGCTTTTGAAAAGTATGCTTACACGACACTATGTAAGTAATCAAATATTTTATTGAAATTGTGATTTTCAACATCAAAGTTTTGACCCTGATGCTTGTTTACATACCATATTCGCAAATCATTAAGTCAATTCTATCAATGTCTAGTTATAACTTTCTCTCGCATAAGAGCATAAGAGGGACAAATACCTATTACTCTTGTGTTGTGGCATAGAATGGCGCACATGAGACATCTCAACTTAATATTTAGTAAACATTAACTTCTCCACATATGGTTGTTTATTTTAGCAATTATAAATTTTTGTGTTTATGGGCTCTAAAGATAATATTATCACGTAACTTCAAGCATTTCTTCTATAAAGCTTCATTAAAAAAGATTTTAAGTTTTTCCTCAACTCAAATATAAATATAACTTTATACAATGTCCATTCTACTTTATCAAACATGCAAATTTTAACAGATTCAATATCTTCACTCTTACAAGGTTGATTATTCTGCATACAAATTGAATTGTTTGATATTGAAAAAATACACAAAATTTTTAACGTAATAGATGTGATAATATCAAATACAATCTAGAATGTATATATCATCAACAACCTTTCATGAATGGAATAGTACACACTATCCAATCTGTCACCATCTTCTAGCAAGTCATACTCCTATTGATCAAAATTCTAATTCACATTCAAGAATAACAGAGTATTAGCAGTTTTGGCCTCTACACTATTGTTCAAGAATTGGTACTAGGAAAGCTTTGACACCACAAGCAACTTGAAGGCACGACATGGATTCGGAATTTTAATTTGTGTCATTTACTCGCACGTCTTTCTAAGCTCGCACATGAGCTTCGAGTAGATCACTAACTGGTGATTGCAGCACAACACTTGAGCACTTGCAAGGATTTTGTGCTTTTCATCACACAATGCTTGAAGCTAATGCAGTACGTCTCGTTGATGGAGCACTAGTTTGAAGGAATAAACCACAACAAGTTGAATTTTAAAGTCATGAACATCTACCTCAACTCCAAAAATCTATACTACTTCTCAATCAACCCAAGTGGAACTTTTTTAGTCTTCAAACTGCACATTTCAAAGCCTAGCTCTTTGGAACTCTTATCAAATCGGATCATTTATTGAAAAATGATAGATGCGACAAGTCCTTGTCAAATAATTTGACCCACGCTCATCGAGAGTAAAAATCATAACATTAGAATACAAATTCAGTATCCTTGTAGACGTTAACACTAATAGTGCATTTATGATGTATTTTTAAAACATACAATATCATTCAAATTTATCGATTTTAAAAATATCTTTATACAATCTTGATTGTGTAGAATTTTTAAATTTATTTTTTAATCAATAAAATAGACAGTAAATATAATTTAAAATAGCATTATTTGTTAAAAATATCTAAAAATTTGAATTTATTTTTTTGGTAATTTTTTTGGTTATATTTTGTTGTTTTTATCATTAGTATCTGATAAAAATTTGTTAAATTTCAAGCCAATTAAAAATCATTCATGAAATCTAACTTTTTAAACATAAAAAATTCTACTTTTATTCTCTTGTGAATATTAAAATATTCACAAGAGAAATGAACAAGATATTCAAAATTTTTTTTGTTCTTAATCATATAACTAAATCCATAAAAAATCTAACTTAGCAAAAAAAAACTCAGTTTATTATTTTTATTTTTTATTTTCAAAATTTGAAGAGTCAATTCATGATAATTCTATGTTTTGATTATCTTAAAATATATCTATTGACTGCATGTATTTAATTTAAAATTTAATTGAATTTCAATCAAAGAAAATTTGAAAGAATCACATCAGACACATGACACAAAATAGATTAAAAGGAAAAAAACAACAACATGATTATAACATTTATAATTTTTTAAAATTTTAAGGATCTAATTTCAGAGTAATAAATAAAAGAGAGGTAATAAGAAAAGTAATTTTCACTGAATTATCCTTAAAAATTATTTTACTTGTAAAAAAATTATTCAAATTTTCTAAAATTTCTGTTTGATTCTGTTTATTTGTCAAATAAATATTTTGAAATTGATTCTATAATAATGTTTCTAATTATTGGACTTTAAAGTTTTTTCCTGTAGAACATAAGATATTTGGGGTTTTTTTTAATTTTAAATAGGCTTGTATACAAAGGTAAACTAAGCTACTATGAGATGTTTTCTGAGTAGTGTTACTTTGATTACATAGTTTGGTTATGAAAGATGCAAAGTTTTTATCTGACTAACAAGAATATGTTATTCGTGATGGATAAGAAGGATTATCTTCTATACGTCCTGGATCTGCAGCGTACACTATTGGAAGTTTTCGTGGGGTCGGTAGATTTTCATATACTCTGTGTTGGGTTCTGCCGCAAAATCTCCATCCATCTGATTCTCTTATATATAGTTCAGCGAATCCCCAGCTATCGTTACCCATCATTGTTCCTGTAACATCTATTGCTCTATCAACATAAGGTCGTAGTAATATTGTGCCTTGTCTAATTTCCGTGCTTTGTGTACGAATCCCCATTCTGGATGATAACAACTTTTGTCGAGTTTTGTACCACTTAACCATGGATCTGCGAAAATTTTGGCTGTGATTAAAGTTAGCAATCCATGATTCTCCCTTGATAATAACATCACCTACTCCGGGTTGAAATGTTGGTGGACACATTTGTCCAGCTTGGAGATGTTTTCCTGGTGAAGGTAATAAGTAACTTGGAGTTGCACCCTCAAGATGGAGTGGATATTGATATCCCAAGAAGATATATCTGTGATCAGGTCTTTGTTTATGAACAGAGAATAAATCAACTCGATAAAAAGGAGAAAAAAAGGCTGGAGCCTCGATGGCTTCGAGTTCATTCAATAATCCTCTTGCTTCGTTGATTTTCCATTGACCAATACGTAGGATGAGATCACCATGTTGCACGCTAGCGTTAAATACATGTCTATCTTGCCCATCCCATGTACGCAAACAGTTGGTTCTAGCACCTGATGGAACATTAGGTGGATGGGAAGCACGACTTGAAGCCCTAGCAGGGTGACTTATTATAATATCGCCTACCTTCGGTTCGAACTGAAAATTACATTCCCCAACAAATATGACTATTTGTTCATCTCCATTCCACAATATAGGTTGACGCGTTGCAAAAGCTTCTTCAGTGTATGTCATTATAGGCCTTTCATCTGCTACACCTGTATTGCCTGCACTTTGATTTGCGAAAGCTCTGCCTTCAGGTTCATTTTCATTGGGTCTAGCCCTCTTTGAGGAAGAGCTGTAGTTTCTGTTTGATCTTGTGTCTTGGTTGGGATGTTGATTGGGATGTTGATGTATATCCATATTTTCACGGTGGCTGTTATTATTAGATACGTTTCTTGATTCATTTGCAGATGTATTACTTGTGTCTTGATTGGGATTTTCATATATATCCCTATTTCTGCGGTTGCTATTATTAGATGCGTATCTTGAATCATGTGCAGATGTATTACTTGTGTCTTCATTGGGATTTTGATGTATATCCCTATCGGATGGATATACAAAGCCTTGGTTTGGTGGTGCGTTACCTGACCTTGAAGACTGGATAAATAAAGGGTTAGTTTATGTGTTTATTTTGTTAAGTTTGTAAACGTTCAGTTAGTTAGACTTAAAAAAGATATTTTTTTTTCATTTGAAAAAATCAGGACATATGATCATTCATTAAAAAGTTTAGCCGTACTTCATAAATATTTTAAATACACTATTTTAAATATAGAACAAATGTTGAATGCAAAACAAAGCTCAAAAGAAGCATGCTTTTAAACAAATCAAGGATTCGAGAAAATCAATCCATGACATAAAGAGTGTACCAGATTTTGGGTAGAGGATGGACTGGAATCCCGTTGTGGTTGCCCATCGCGCATAGCATCCCGATTTTGATTGTTATCCCTATTTTGACGGTTGCCGTAGCGATCATCGACGTTATTACCTGCGTTTCTTAAAAAATATCCAGATGAAGTGCTTGTGCCTGGACTTTGATTTTGATCGTTATCCCTATTTTGATTTTGATTGTTATCCCTATTTTGATTTTGATTGTTATCCCTATTTTGACGGTTGCCGTAACGATCATCGACGTTATTACCTGCGTTTCTTACAAAATATCCAGATGAAGTGCTTGTGTCTTGACTGGGATTTTGATGGTTATCATTACTTCCTTGTGAGCCCGTATCTGATCTTCCACCCCCGCGTCCATTGGGTCGAAATGGAAAATTGTTCGATTCAGATGCTATTCTGTTAGTTGATTCTTGTGATAAAAAATTTGGATTTGTTCGAGAAGAATCGGATGTATATGCAAAGCCTTGGTTTGGAGGGTCGTTACCTGACCTTGAAGACTGGAGAAATAAAGGGTTACTTATGTGTTTATTTTGCTAAGTTTGTAAACGTTCAGTTAGTTAGACTTAAAAAGGATACTGTTCTTTCATTTGAAAAAATCACGAAATATGATCATTCATTAAAAAGTTTAGCCGTACTTCATAAATAAATTAAATACACCATTTTCAATAAAGAAAAAATGTTGAAAGCAAAATAAACCTCAAAAGAAGCATGCTTTTAAACAAATCAAGGATTCGAGAAAATCAATCCATGACATAAAGAGTTTACCAGATCTTGGGTAGAGGATGGACTGGAATCCCGTTGTGGTTGCCCATCGCGCATAGCATCCCGATTTTGATTGTTATCGCTATTTTGACGGTTGCCGTAGCGATCATCGACGTTATTACCTGCGTTTCTTAAAAAATATCCAGATGAAGTGCTTGTGCCTGGACTTTGATTTTGATCGTTATCCCTATTTTGATTTTGATTGTTATCCCTATTTTGATTTTGATTGTTATCCCTATTTTGACGGTTGCCGTAACGATCATCGACGTTATTACCTGCGTTTCTTAAAAAATATCCAGATGAAGTGCTTGTGTCTTGACTGGGATTTTGATGGTTATCATTACTTCCTTGTGAGCCCGTATCTGATCTTCCACCCCCGCGTCCATTGGGTCGAAATGGAAAAATGTTCGATTCAGATGCTACTCTGTTAGTTGACTCTTGTGATGAAAAATTTGGATTTGTTCGAGAAGAATCGGATGTATATGCAAAGCCTTGGTTTGGTGGGTCGTTACCTGACCTTGAAGACTGGAGAAATAAAGGGTTATTTATGTGTTTATTTTGTTAAGTTTGTAAACGTTCAGTTAGTTAGACTTAAAAAGGATACTGTTTTTTCATTTGAAAAAATCACGAAATATGATCATTCATTAAAAACTTTAGCCGTACTTCATATATAAATTAAATACACCATTTTCAATAAAGAAAAAATGTTGAAAGCAAAATAAACCTCAAAAGAAGCATGCTTTTAAACAAATCAAGGATTCGAGAAAATCAATCCATGACATAAAGAGTTTACCAGATCTTGGGTAGAGGATGGACTGGAATCCTGTTGTGGTTGCCCATCGCGCATCGCATCCTGATTTTGATTGTTATCCCTATTTTGATTTTGATTGTTATCCCTATTTTGATTTTGATTGTTATCCCTATTTTGACGGTTGCCGTAACGATCATCGAGGTTATTACCTGCGTTTCTTAAAAAATATCCAGATGAAGTACTTGTGTCTTGACTGGGATTTTGATGGTTATCCCTATTTCCATGTGAGTCCGTATCTGATCTTCCACTCCCACGTCCATTGAGTCGAGATGAAGAAGTGGTCGATTCAGACTCTATACTGTTACTTGATTCATGTGATGTAAAATTTGGATTTGATCGAGAAGAATCGGATGGATATGCAAAGCCTTGGTTTGGTGGTGCGTTACCTGACCTTGAAGACTGGATAAATAAATGGTTAGTTTATGTGTTTATTTTGTTAAGTTTGTAAACGTTCAGTTAGTTAGACTTAAAAAAGATACTTTTTTTTCATTTGAAAAAATCAGGACATATGAACATTCATTAAAAAATTTAGCCGTGCTTCATAAATATTTTAAATACACTATTTTAGATATAGAACAAATGTTGAATGCAAAACAAAGCTCAAAAGAAGCATGCTTTTAAACAAATCAAGGATTCGAGAAAATCAATCCATGACATAAAGAGTGTACCAGATTTTGGGTAGAGGATGGACTGGAATCCCGTTGTGGTTGCCCATCGCGCATAGCATACCGATTTTGATTGTTATCGCTATTTTGACGGTTGCCGTAGCGATCATCGACGTTATTACCTGCGTTTCTTAAAAAATATCCAGATGAAGTGCTTGTGTCTGGACTTTGATTTTGATCGTTATCCCTATTTTGATTTTGATTGTTATCCCTATTTTGACGGTTGCCGTAACGATCATCGACGTTATTACCTGCGTTTCTTAAAAAATATCCAGATGAAGTGCTTGTGTCTTGACTGGGATTTTGATGGTTATCATTACTTCCTTGTGAGCCCGTATCTGATCTTCCACCCCCGCGTCCATTGGGTCGAAATGGAAAAATGTTCGATTCAGATGCTACTCTGTTAGTTGACTCTTGTGATGAAAAATTTGGATTTGTTCGAGAAGAATCGGATGTATATGCAAAGCCTTGGTTTGGTGGGTCGTTACCTGACCTTGAAGACTGGAGAAATAAAGGGTTATTTATGTGTTTATTTTGTTAAGTTTGTAAACGTTCAGTTAGTTAGACTTAAAAAGGATACTGTTTTTTCATTTGAAAAAATCACGAAATATGATCATTCATTAAAAACTTTAGCCGTACTTCATATATAAATTAAATACACCATTTTCAATAAAGAAAAAATGTTGAAAGCAAAATAAACCTCAAAAGAAGCATGCTTTTAAACAAATCAAGGATTCGAGAAAATCAATCCATGACATAAAGAGTTTACCAGATCTTGGGTAGAGGATGGACTGGAATCCTGTTGTGGTTGCCCATCGCGCATCGCATCCTGATTTTGATTGTTATCCCTATTTTGATTTTGATTGTTATCCCTATTTTGATTTTGATTGTTATCCCTATTTTGATTTTGATTGTTATCCCTATTTTGACGGTTGCCGTAGCGATCATCGACGTTATTACCTGCGTTTCTTAAAAAATATCCAGATGAAGTGCTTGTGTCTTGACTGGGATTTTGATGGTTATCCCTACTTCCTTGTGAGTCCGTATCTGATCTTCCACTCCCGCGTCCATTGAGTCGAGATGAAGAAGTGGTCGATTCAGATTCTATGCTGTTAATTGATTCATGTGACGTAAAATTTGGATTTGATTGAGAAGAATGGGATGTATATCCTTGGTTTGATGGGTCGTTACCTGACCTTAAAGACTGGAGAAAGAAAGAGTTATTTATGAGGTTATTTTGATAAGTTTGTAAACTTTCAGCGATTTAGCCTTATGAAAGATATTTTTTTCACATTAAAAAAATCCACAACATATGGTCGTTCATTAAAAATGTTAGCCGTACTTCTTAAATATTTCAAATACACTATCTTGTATAAAGAACGAATGTTGAATGCAAAATAAAACTGAAAAGAAGCATGTTTTTAAACAAATCAAGGGTACGAGAAAATCAATCCATGACAAAAATGTTGTACCTGATTTTGAGTAGAGGATGGACTGGAACTCCGTTGTGGTTGCCGAACGTTCGGATCAGAGTTGGTAGCACTTGTGTCTTGACTTTGACTTTGATTGTTATTCCTATTTCCATCTGATCTTCCACTCCCGCGTCCATTGAGTCGAAATGAAGAAGTGGTCGATTCAGACTCTACGCTGTTAATTGATTCATGTGATGTAAAATTTGGGTTTGATTGAGAGGAATGGGATGTATATCCTTGGTTTGATGGGTCGTTACCTGACCTTAAAGACTGGAGAAGGAAAGGGTTATTTATGAGGTTATTTTGATAAGTTTGTAACCTTTCAGCTAGTTAGCCTTAAAAAACATATTTTTTGTCACATTCAAAAAATCCACAACATATGGTCGTTCATTAAAAATGTAAGCCGTACTACATAAATATTTCAAATACACTATCTTGTATAAAGAACGAATGTTGAATGCAAAATAAAACTGAAAAGAAGCATGTTTTTAAACAAATCAAGGGTACGAGAAAATCAATCCATGACAAAAATGTTGTACCTGATTTTGAGTAGAGGATGGACTGGAACTCCGTTGTGGCTGCCGAACGTTAGGATCAGAGTTGGTAGCACTTGTGTCTTGACTTGGACTTTGATTGTTATTCCTATTTCCATCTGATCTTCCACTCCCGCGTCCATTGAGTCGAAATGAAGAAGTGGTCGATTCAGACTCTACGCTGTTAATTGATTCATGTGATGTAAAATTTGGATTTGATTGAGAAGAATGGGATGTATATCCTTGGTTTGATGGGTCGTTACCTGACCTTAAAGACTGGAGAAAGAAAGGGTTATTTATGAGGTTATTTTGATAAGTTTGTAAACTTTCAGCTAGTTAGCCTTAAAAAACATATTTTTTCGTCACATTCAAAAAATCCACAACATATGGTCGTTCATTAAAAATGTAGGACGTACTTCATAAATATTTCAAATACACTATCTTGTATAAAGAGCAAATTTTGAATGCAAAATAAAACTCAAAAGAAGCATGTTTTTGAACAATTCAAGGGTACGAGAAAATCAATCCATGACAAAAATGTTGTACCTGATTTTGAGTAGAGGATGGACTGGAACTCCGTTGTGGTTGCCGAACGTTAGGATCAGAGTTGGTAGCGCTTGTGTCTTGACTTTGACTTTGATTGGTATTCCTATTTCCATCTGATCTTCCACTCCCGCGTCCATTGAGTGGAAATGAAGAAGTGGTCGAGTCAGACTCTACGCTGTTAATTGATTCATGTGATGTAAAATTTGGATTTGATTCAGAAGAATGGGATGTATATCCTTGGTTTGATGGGTCGTTACCTGACCTTAAAGACTGGAGAAAGAAAGGGTTATTTATGAGGTTATTTTGATAAGCTTGTAAACTTTCAGCTAGTTATCCTTAAAAAACATATTTTTTCGTCACATTCAAAAAATCCACAACATATGGTCGTTCATTAAAAATGTAAGACGTACTTCATAAATATTTCAAATACACTATCTTGCATAAAGAACGAATGTTGAATGCAAAATAAAACTGAAAAGAAGCATGTTTTTAAACAAATCAAGGGTACGAGAAAATCAATCCATGACAAAAATGTTGTACCTGATTTTGAGTAGAGGATGGACTGGAACTCCGTTGTGGCTGCCGAACGTTAGGATCAGAGTTGGTAGCGCTTGTGTCTTGACTTGGACTTTGATTGGTATTCCTATTTCCATCTGATCTTCCACTCCCGCGTCCATTGAGTCGAAATGAAGAAGTGGTCGATTCAGACTCTACGCTGTTAATTGATTCATGTGATGTAAAATTTGGATTTGATTGAGAAGAATGGGATGTATATCCTTGGTTTGATGGGTCGTTACCTGACCTTAAAGACTGGAGAAAGAAAGGGTTATTTATGTGGTTATTTTGATAAGTTTGTAACCTTTCAGCAAGTTAGCCTTAAAAAACATATTTTTTCGTCACATTCAAAAAATCCACAACATATGGTCGTTCATTAAAAATGTAAGCCGTTCTACATAAATATTTCAAATACACTATCTTGTATAAAGAACGAATGTTGAATGGAAAATAAAACTGAAAAGAAGCATGTTTTTGAACAAATCAAGGGTACGAGAAAATCAATCCATGACAAAAATGTTGTACCTGATTTTGAGTAGAGGATGGACTGGAACTCCGTTGTGGCTGCCGAACGTTAGGATCAGAGTTGGTAGCGCTTGTGTCTTGACTTTGACTTTGATGGTTATTCCTATTTCCATCTGATCTTCCACTCCCGCGTCCATTGAGTCGAAATGAAGAAGTGGTCGATTCAGACTCTACGCTGTTAATTGATTCATGTGATGTAAAATTTGGATTTGATTGAGAAGAATGGGATGTATATCCTTGGTTTGATGGGTCGTTACCTGACCTTAAAGACTGGAGAAAGAAAGGGTTATTTATGTGGTTATTTTGATAAGTTTGTAACCTTTCAGCTAGTTAGCCTTAAAAAACATATTTTTTCGTCACATTCAAAAAATCCACAACATATGGTCGTTCATTAAATATGTAAGCCGTTCTACATAAATATTTCAAATACACTATCTTGTATAAAGAACGAATGTTGAATGCAAAATAAAACTGAAAAGAAGCATGTTTTTGAACAAATCAAGGGTACGAGAAAATCAATCCATGACAAAAATGTTGTACCTGATTTTGAGTAGAGGATGGACTGGAACTCCGTTGTGGTTGCCGAACGTTAGGATCAGAGTTGGTAGCGCTTGTGTCTTGACTTTGACTTTGATTGTTATTCCTATTTCCATCTGATCTTCCACTCCCGCGTCCATTGAGTCGAAATGAAGAAGTGGTCGATTCAGACTCTACGCTGTTAATTGATTCATGTGATGTAAAATTTGGATTTGATTGAGAAGAATGGGATGTATATCCTTGGTTTGATGGGTCGTTACCTGACCATAAAGACTGGAGAAAGAAAGGGTTATTTATGAGGTTATTTTGATAAGCTTGTAAACTTTCAGCTAGTTAGCCTTAAAAAACATATCTCATAAATATTTTAATACACTATCATGTATAAAGAACGAATGTTGAATGCAAAATAAAACTGAAAAGAAGCATGTTTTTAAACAAATCAAGGGTACGAGAAAATCAATCCATGACAAAAATGTTGTACCTGATTTTGAGTAGAGGATGGACTGGAACTCCGTTGTGGTTGCCGAACGTTAGGATCAGAGTTGGTAGCGCTTGTGTCTTGACTTTGACTTTGATTGTTATTCCTATTTCCATCTGATCTTCCACTCCCGCGTCCATTGAGTCGAAATGAAGAAGTGGTCGATTCAGACTCTACGCTGTTAATTGATTCATGTGATGTAAAATTTGGATTTGATTGAGAAGAATGGGATGTATATCCTTGGTTTGATGGGTCGTTACCTGACCATAAAGACTGGAGAAAGAAAGGGTTATTTATGTGGTTATTTTGATAAGTTTGTAAACTTTCAGCTAGTTAGCCTTAAAAAACATATTTTTTGTCACATTCAAAAAATCCACAACATATGGTCGTTCATTACAAATGTAAGCCGTACTACATAAATATTTCAAATACACTATCTTGTATAAAGAACGAATGTTGGATGGAAAATAAAACTGAAAAGAAGCATGTTTTTAAACAAATCAAGGTTTCGAGAAAATCAATCCATGACAAAAATGTTGTACCTGATTTTGAGTAGAGGATGGACTGGAACTCCGTTGTGGTTGCCGAACGTTAGGATCAGAGTTGGTGGCGCTTGTGTCTTGACTTGGACTTTGATTGTTATTCCTATTTCCATCTGATCTTCCACTCCCGCGTCCATTGAGTCGAAATGAAGAAGTGGTCGATTCAGACTCTACGCTGTTAATTGATTCATGTGATGTAAAATTTGGATTTGATTGAGAAGAATGGGATGTATATCCTTGGTTTGATGGGTCGTTACCTGACCATAAAGACTGGAGAAAGAAAGGGTTATTTATGAGGTTATTTTGATAAGTTTGTAACCTTTCAGCTAGTTAGCCTTAAAAAACATATCTCATAAATATTTTAATACACTATCATGTATAAAGAACGAATGTTGAATGCAAAATAAAACTGAAAAGAAGCATGTTTTTAAACAAATCAAGGGTACGAGAAAATCAATCCATGACAAAAATGTTGTACCTGATTTTGAGTAGAGGATGGACTGGAACTCCGTTGTGGTTGCCGAACGTTAGGATCAGAGTTGGTAGCGCTTGTGTCTTGACTTTGACTTTGATTGTTATTCCTATTTCCATCTGATCTTCCACTCCCGCGTCCATTGAGTCGAAATGAAGAAGTGGTCGATTCAGACTCTACGCTGTTAATTGATTCATGTGATGTAAAATTTGGATTTGATTGAGAAGAATGGGATGTATATCCTTGGTTTGATGGGTCGTTACCTGACCATAAAGACTGGAGAAAGAAAGGGTTATTTATGAGGTTATTTTGATAAGCTTGTAAACTTTCAGCTAGTTAGCCTTAAAAAACATATCTCATAAATATTTTAATACACTATCATGTATAAAGAACGAATGTTGAATGCAAAATAAAACTGAAAAGAAGCATGTTTTTAAACAAATCAAGGGTACGAGAAAATCAATCCATGACAAAAATGTTGTACCTGATTTTGAGTAGAGGATGGACTGGAACTCCGTTGTGGTTGCCGAACGTTAGGATCAGAGTTTGTGGCGCTTGTGTCTTGACTTGGACTTTGATTGTTATTCCTATTTCCATCTGATCTTCCACTCCCGCGTCCATTGAGTCGAAATGAAGAAGTGGTCGATTCAGACTCTACGCTGTTAATTGATTCATGTGATGTACAATTTGGATTTGATTGAGAAGAATGGGATGTATATCCTTGGTTTGATGGGTCGTTACCTGACCATAAAGACTGGAGAAAGAAAGGGTTATTTATGAGGTTATTTTGATAAGTTTGTAAACTTTCAGCTAGTTAGCCTTAAAAAACATATTTTTTGTCACATTCAAAAAATCCACAACATATGGTCGTTCATTAAAAATGTAGGACGTACTTCTTCAATATTTCAAATACACTATCTTGTATAAAGAGCAAATTTTGAATGCAAAATAAAACTGAAAAGAAGCATGTTTTTAAACAAATCAAGGGTACGAGAAAATCAATCCATGACAAAAATGTTGTACCTGATTTAGAGTAGAGGATGGACTGGAACTCCGTTGTGGCTGCCGAACGTTAGGATCAGAGTTGGTAGCGTTTGTGTCTTGACTTTGACTTTGATGGTTATTCCTATTTCCATCTGATCTTCCACTCCCGCGTCCATTGAGTCGAAATGAAGAAGTGGTCGATTCAGACTCTACGCTGTTAATTGATTCATGTGATGTAAAATTTGGATTTGATTGAGAAGAATGGGATGTATATCCTTGGTTTGATGGGTCGTTACCTGACCTTAAAGACTGGAGAAAGAAAGGGTTATTTATGAGGTTATTTTGATAAGCTTGTAAACTTTCAGCTAGTTAGCCTTAAAAAACATATTTTTTCGTCACATTCAAAAAATCCACAACATATGGTCGTTCATTAAAAATGTAAGCCGTACTACATAAATATTTCAAATACACTATCTTGTATATAGAACGAATGTTGAATGCAAAATAAAACTGAAAAGAAGCATGTTTTTGAACAAATCAAGGGTACGAGAAAATCAATCCATGACAAAAATGTTGTACCTGATTTTGAGTAGAGGATGGACTGGAACTCCGTTGTGGCTGCCGAACGTTAGGATCAGAGTTGGTAGCGCTTGTGTCTTGACTTTGACTTTGATGGTTATTCCTATTTCCATCTGATCTTCCACTCCCGCGTCCATTGAGTCGAAATGAAGAAGTGGTCGATTCAGACTCTACGCTGTTAATTGATTCATGTGATGTAAAATTTGGATTTGATTGAGAAGAATGGGATGTATATCCTTGGTTTGATGGGTCGTTACCTGACCTTAAAGACTGGAGAAGGAAAGGGTTATTTATGTGGTTATTTTGATAAGTTTGTAAACTTTCAGCTAGTTAGCCTTAAAAAACATATTTTTTCGTCACATTCAAAAAATCCACAACATATGGTCGTTCATTAAAAATGTAAGACGTACTTCATAAATATTTCAAATACACTATCTTGTATAAAGAACAAATTTTGAATGCAAAATAAAACTGAAAAGAAGCATGTTTTTAAACAAATCAAGGGTACGAGAAAATCAATCCATGACAAAAATGTTGTACCTGATTTTGAGTAGAGGATGGACTGGAACTCCGTTGTGGCTGCCGAACGTTAGGATCAGAGTTGGTAGCGCTTGTGTCTTGACTTCGATTTTGATTGCTATCCCTATTTTGACGGTGGCTGCTAGTAGATACGGATCTTGAATAATTTGTAGATGTATTACTTGTGTCTTGACTGGGATTTGGATATATATACCTATTTCCACGGTTGCTGGTATTAGATACATCTGCATTATATGCAGATGTATTTCTCGAATACGAATTTTCACTTTGGTTCGTCATAGATACATCTGCATCATATGCAGATGTATTTCTCGAATCATTTCTCGAAGACGAATGCGGAGATCCAGAACCACGGCCGCTATCAGAGCGATGGGGAGATCCAGGACCGCGGCCACTACCAGATGGGCCACTATCAGAGCGATGCGGAGATCCAGGACCGCGGCCACTACCAGATGGGCCACTATCAGAGCGATGGGGAGATCCAGGACCGCGGCCACTACCAGATGGGCCACTATCAGAGCGATGCGGAGATCCAGGACCGCGGCCACTACCAGATGGGCCACTATCAGAGCGATGCGGAGATCCAGGACCGCGGCCACTACCAGATGGGCTACTATCAGAGCGTTGGGGAGCAACCTCATTCTCGAATGCACCTTGTAAGTGATTTCTTATGAAATGTTCTCTTGTCTCGATGCTAGAGAATAAGGGCCAATTAGCCGGGTCATTTGTCAAGTTGAATCTCCGTAAGTTGAGAGGAACGGGATCTTCATCTATATTTCTGTCAGGATACCGCAGCTGTAACTGTTCTGCCATCGCGGTTTCAATCTGATCGGCGCTTGGATGACCGAAAGTCAGCGTGGATGCAGCAGTCAGTCGGGATCATTTCGAGCCCTGGATTCTGCATCCATCTCGATTTCCCCGCATTATTCTTTTGAGTTTTTATCGCGCTTTCTCAAAGTCTGACCAGACGCTTCGATTGAAATTAGTTAGCCCTGCAGAAAAGTCCAGAACTATCGCTTATTTTGCCCGAGGTTTGGAATTTCGGCGGAACTCGACCGAAGCTTATATCATCAGAAGAAGAGCAGCTGAAGCGAAGAAGGATAGAGTTGACTACGACTACTAAGTCATCAACATTAGACAAGAGACGCGACTGTTCATTTTACTTGTAGACGAAACGCTTAGTTCGATCCGACGTGATGACATTCGAAGTTGACACCGATCGAGTCTGTCTACAGCGTCTCAGCATGAACGTGGAATTCCAGGATTTTCATTAACAGGAATGATTTCTCACGTTCCACTGAGTTGATCCACATTTGGATCTCTTCCGATCGAGATCATGTCCCAAAGTTTTCGGATCGCGAGATGGACCTGAGGGCAAATCTACAATAAGAGTGTTTGGGCCTTCATACCAGAGTTTCACCGACACTGAGCGGCCTATTCGACTTGTTTAACATGTGTACTCGAATTAAAGAGCGAGTTTGAATAAAGCTGAAGCGTTGAAAAGCGTAGAAGGTTCTGTTTGAGACGATCGGTTACCTTGAAGGGGTAAGGCAACCTCCACAACGTTGTATTGGGAAGTATCACCGGCATGCAAGCATTTCTGGATGCCCATAGACTGAATACCCGAAAGCTCATGGGCTCGGGCTAAGTTATTTACCAGCTCGTGTGAGTCTATAAGGAACTAAACAACACCAATAGGTGAGCAGAGGGAGAGAGAGAGAAAGAGAATGCAAGGAGGGGACTCCCATACCTTCCGAATCAATCATCGTATTGCGCAAACTAGTATTTGGACAAGGAATCAGAAGCTGATGATCATGGAACACATTCTACGTCGAGTAAAGTAAGCCCACTCCCTCCTTAACGTCGACGATGTCGTTGATGAGGTTGTAAAGTTTGAGAATTCGCACTTTTGAACAAGTTTTCGACATTCCTTTCTCAGTACGACGGATTTATCACAGAGTAAGCTCTGGTATGATGACAGAGCTTCTGATAGAGAGTGATGTAGAAGAGTCACTTCTACATCACTGTGAAGCTAGGTTTCCAGGGGTGAGCTTGTTTTTTGACGACATAGGTAGCTGAGAGGCGAGAGTCTATCGGAGAAGACTCAGAAATCTGAGTCCAACTCTTCTGAGTATAATACGAATTTCTCTCAATCTGGTCTACTTTTGAAATACACCGACTAATTTGAATGAATAATACTACATACCCAATTTGGTAAAGATCTGTCTTTAGGCTGTAATAAAGATAATGCAGAGTACCCTAGGCATCCTTCTTTGTAAATCTGAGCTGGATTAAGGAACCCACTATAATGAATGGAGCAATATTTAGGTGATTTATCCTGTCCGCACATAACCCGCCGATAATTTGAAAGTATCGCTCTTCAAAGGATGGGAAGCCCATCATGATTTCCACCAGTCTACACACTTGCCTTTGAGCTGTCATAAACTGACAGACAGAAATCCTCATGATTCTTCATAGGCCACCTGAAGAGAGAAATTCGAATGACCAAGGTATTTGAGCCCAAGTGTCGTAGTTGAATTTCATAGATTCAAGCTGCCTGCACCCTTTACGAGTTTACGTTTCGCTTTGAAGGAGAAGTAATTTTTTTTTCTTTATTGTACTTGAGAACTGAGTTTCCATAGCAGAATTTTCAAAGAACTAAACAGTAAATCTGGAGACGTAAAAGTCTGAATGAGTTAAAAAACTTATGGTTATCAAACGAAACTTAGCCAAACAGTTAATCGATGATCAATTATGTCCTGAGTGAAGCTTCGGGTTTGGTACCGAATGTGTGATTACAGAGTCAACATCAAAAAACGATGTAAGCACGTTTCTTAGTGTACCGATCTTTCTAGATAAACTGAATCAATGAAATCAAGTTTACACTGATTGATCAGTATTCATGGTATCCATTGTTCGGAGAACATTGATTCTAGGACAGAAAATCTTTTCGATTTTAAGACCAGACGAGATAGTCTTTAGAAAAATTCCTTGAAGCTGTACCTCCAGAATTTCCATCTATTCCAGCGAGTGTGGAAATGACTGTTTGAGTCCCTCCTTCAATTCAGTCCACCGTGGTGCTGACAACAATTAGACTGACAACTGGTTAGATAATATTCCAACGGGTTCACAAGATTGTCGGTACTGTGAGGTCCACGAGAAGGATGTGCAGCTATGTCCAGTATCTGATCTGAAGGCCAGAATATCAGTAACGTGGCAGCACTTCAACGAATCAGAATGTTGCTAACGGCTTACAACTAAATATTCTGAATGAGCTGGCATTTTAAAAGCCAATCGACAGTATAGTCTTGCTGATTTCAACGAGAACTATCCACGAGACGAATTCATAGGGTTTTTGTGATGCTACCCCTTAGATCAGATGGGAAAGATTTACAACCTCAGAAAATATGAGGTAGGTTGAGCTCATATTGATCAGTCTCGAATGCATTTAAAGTGCAGCAACGGATTCCGTTTAAGAAGAAATAATCATTAATCCGAACCATACTGTGACACGAAATAAAATGGGCTGGAACTTACAATGAGGAATCAGCATTTTGGTAACTTGTAGATCTGGGAAGTCTTTGTTTTAAAATTATTTATTCATGCCCATGTTGAAAGGTGGATGGTTTAAGTTAGTTCAGATTCACAAGGATCTGATGGATCTCAGCCAGCTTCTAAGCTGTTGGAAAGGGGCCAGGGAAAAGTGAACAAAAGAGAACAAGACACCGTGTATATATTCTTCAAGTTTTCTCGAGGAATGCACGACGGTAAAGGTCCACAGCAGACCAGCACAGCACTACTACCATCCTAAGAATATGACAAACATAAGGTCAACATTGCTGATTGTATAGAGAAACGAAAACTTGGCGTATCATTCTGGTGAGAATCCATGCCAATTCACTAGAGACTGAAACCTAGCCCACTTAAGCCAAAGACACGAAACTCAGGCAGGAGCTCGAGGTAGGAAACTGCTGCTCAAAAACCGCAAAGTTATTTCATGCAGAAGCATAGCAGCACTCTCACTCTCATACAGCTGGTCTGCACGCGCAAATGAGCTTCTGACTACACGAAAATTTCAGAAGCAAACGGTGTCCGAGTGACGTGGTTTTTTTTCTTACTAAAGTTCAATCGGATATTCAACTGACATGAAAGTTCGCATTCTAGAATGTAGAATGCCAACTTTTGTAATAATTTGCAATCTCTAAGGAACGAACTAATCACTAATCACTAATCACTCTTCTCTGACTAAGATCTGTAATCGAAGGAAGAAGTAAGCATAGATGACTGGGAATAAGTACCGAAAATGTTTAGTGAGTGAAGTGTGTGAGTGAAAGTGGAAGATATTGTAATAATCTAATGTTGGAGGAGATACGTCATTTAAGTGCCCACGGTGCTTATCTTTCTCGTTTGCGTATGGGTTCATTCCCCTTGATCATGATTGGTTCACATGGGGTTTTCCAAGAGACGGAAGCAATCCAGAGCCCAACATTGGATGCCCATACCGTGCCCAAACCCATCCATGCCCCTGGGTTTTGGGTGACATTAAATCTCCATGGATGGACACAAGTTATAATGCTAAGGACAGTGTTTGTCAAGATACAACCAAGAATTGGTGTAATTTGAATAGCATGGGAGGGCACAGGTAATGCTATGGGTGGATTTAGGTAGCTGCTGATGGTTATGGTCTGGTCTGGGTGCAGATTTGAAGTAAAATGTTGGCCTCTAAAGCAGTCATTTCAGGGACCATTTCTGTTAACTGACGGACAGTACATCTATTCTTGTTGATCTTCAGGATTTACCACAAGTATAGTAGTCATAGTTAGAATGCGATGAATTTTATTTTAAAGTGGTATGATTATAATATGCATAGAGAGCTCAAATTTTCTTCCTCTGTTTTGCCATGTAATCCCATGGGTAAGTAATTTTTATTTCATATTATTTCCAGGTATAAAGACTTGAATTCATATTGGACATAGAGAAGTGCGAATTAGAGGTTGGAGTTAATTTGTAGATCGATTATCATCTATCCATATATGACTAGAGGGGCAATGTTTTGCTATATTAATGATTAGTACATATACTTGAGTTGAGATGTAAGTAAAGGATGTAAACATGTTATCATCTTCTTCACTGCATACATAGAAAGCTACATAGAAAGGGGAGCTGTTATATACTATAACAGCTCCCCTTTCTATGTAACTAACCACAGATTTGACTATCATTATACTTTCGACTTTTATCAACAAACAGCTTGAGCATTTTCTAAAAGAATTGACCATTACTTGACAACTAGGGCTCCTTAACATACTTATTACTAAAACATAGTCTACTAAAACTATGCAGGTTAGTAGATTTTGGTTCTCTACAACAATTGCAGCAATATTTATTCGTCTTTCGTTCGGTAGTTGAATATTTAAAAAAGTCTACAATCCGACATCATGTGGTGCCAACACCCATGAAATGTGTAGCAAGTTTCGTACTCTGTGAGGAGTAGGATACCACATGGCGCCGGAAAGGAAGCCGTCTGTACTGGTTGAGCATTCGTGTTCAGAACCTACGCCATAGGTTCTGGGCCCCCAACTATAAGTCTTTGGCGGCTAACGATCCATCACTGGGAAGTGGCTCGAATGCCACAGAGCAGCCGGGCTGCCATCCGCGAAACTCGATCAACCTCATAAGATTCTTTCCAAAGTAGTAACATGTTCTTGGTTCGATGTCGCACCAGTATTTAATATCTGAGCCTGAGCCTGTAGCACCACCGGGCCTTCAGTGCCATAGACTGTAGACATTGCAATCGACGTTTCACAGATGCGGATCTTATATTCTAGTATATTCATATACTAGTATTAAACGAAAACTCAGTGGAGATCGCAAGAGCAGAGAGACGCACACTAGGGGTGTGTCTATCTTGCTGGATATCAACAAAATCCACTAGAAAGAAATTCTTCAGTTCAACAGCTGAATCCCAAACTGCCAGACAATTGGCCATTGCTCATGACACGCATGAGCAAGACCTGAGAGAGTAAGATCTTGCATTTCCTGTACGAAGAATTGAATGGCCTAGCTGATTGATGATCGTGTTTGTATTTACCCGTGGAGTGAGGTACTTGTGTCAGAAAAGTAACACACTTCTCTACGCGTTCATGGAGAGAGTTCACGTCTCCATGTCAATAAAGTTCTTGATCTTGCCTCATGCAGATGATGCCCATTAATCTAAAATCGGCATGGACAGAGAATGACCCCTTTCTAACGTAAGTAGCACCAGACCGGAAAATGAAGTGCGTTGCTTTACTCAGATATTTGGTGTTATGCACAGGGAAGGAAAAAATATTATACAGAAGCTTCAGTTTCTGAATTAGCTTTTCTGGTAAGTTCATCACGACGTCAATTGTCAGTGTTGACTGAGGACAGCTTGCAGAAAGACTGCTACCCTTAGGATTGCAGAACAACTAGTCATTGTAATTGCCGTCCATAGTTTTGCATAACAATAACAAAGATAAGAGAATTTCGAGTTGCGTGGTGCAGCTCAACACTGATTTAGACAAACAAGATATGATTTTACTAGAACGAAAATACGAATCTAGTGGTTCAAATCCTTCTCATGTTTTGAGAGTCTACTCACCTGGTTGAAAGGCAGTTCCCCAGTACAGTCTTAATCTGAGACAAAGAACATGATGTCAAAACGATAGAAATCGATTCTGCGACAGACTGAAGTAGCTCGAATTCGCTCAGCTGAAATTGATCAGTCCCAACTTCGTTCAAGCCTGATCCACGCTGTGATTAGAGGATGTATATTGGAGATTATGCAAGGTACGAAGAAAATCTGGGCTCCAGGGTACTAATCCCTTTAAGTGTGGACGCTAATCAAGAGTGCATCACCATGAAGTTCCAATGGACCAAGCTAATTGTCACATAATCGTTTTAACATACCATTCGATAACGCGTGTCGAACTAAAAATCGTTCCAACACAAAGCTTTGAGTCATCGTTCTTGAGTCGTTAGATCCGGTATGGAGCCAGACGTTTCATGTTGAATTTATGATCAATCAATTCTATCAAACTGGAAAGTACTAAGTTGAACTAAAACTGAACTTTTCGAAGCCTCATTTGGCTCTTCTTTCTCTGAAACTCTGAACTCATATATTGTACTTCATCGTTCCACCATCTTATCCTTCGATGTGTTAGAACATACTTCAGCCTGCATCGTTCCACCTCTCATTCAGAGGCACTGATCGATGGTGCGCAATACTTGTAATCATTTTCTGGATAATCTTCGTGAAGTCATTTGCTCGATCAAAAGAACTCTTGATCGAGCGCCATCTACCATCTACAGATTCCCTCTATTTGAAACCAGCTGATCTTTGCCGGAACAAGTGTACACCACTACACTCTGGTTGAAGTCCTTCGCATCTGTAAATACGCCAGTGTTCCAGAGTCAGATGCAAGTGTCAAAATCTTGTTGTAAAATGATTGAAGATTTCACAAGACGTTCAGTGTAAAGAAGAAGTTCCTGATTAACAATGAACCGTTGTCATGGTAATAAACTGGATTCTCACACAACCGTACAAAGCTCGATTTAGCTAATTGGGTTTCTGGTACTGAGAAAAAAATTTCCCTTGGTTCACAACGTTTCGGAATCGGAATCGGGTGAGCTGGTGAAGAAAAGTATATGCATTTGCAGGATGTTCTTACCTTTGCACAAAGTTTCCCAGAATTCGTGTTGCTGTTGCAGCGAAAGAGAGAAAAACATCGAGGGGCCATCGTTGAGAACTGATGCAGATCCACATCACCCCAGGAGCATGACATAGGGTGAGTAATTTGTGAGAACTACGAGGCGGAAACGTTTAGAAGGTTTCGATATCAACTGCTTAGTCGGAACGAATCGACAGTCACTATATTCTCTACTACTACAAAGTCCTGAACTATTTCTCTTCTAGTCTTGAACTGATCTATAACTCTTCTATAGGATGAAGAGAAAATCTCGATCTAGTCCGTGTCACTAGATAATGGATCGGTTGTTGGCAGTTCCCGATAGTGTACAATGTTGGAGTTGCAGACAATTTCCAGCTGCATATTCTAGAAATGCATTCAAGCCGAGCTCCTGGGCCATTTTTTCAAATTAGAACCTAAGTTTGCTGTGTTTCAATGTCACAAACCAATAGCGTACTCTATATCCGCATAATCTTCATCATCCAAACCCTCGCCTTGCTTACTCAATGTGAGTAGTAATGCGTAGGCCAAAGCTCGTTCCCGTTTGGTCTTCGCCTCTGGCTTTCCCCCTGGGCCTGGCTCCTTGATTTGCAGAAGGCTTTCATTGTACATCAAGCTCCTCTCCCGTTTGGCTGCTGCTTCCTGCTTGCTCTTCACCATAGCTTGTAACTCCGGCAGAGTGCGCATGCTTTGGTTCCACTCATGCGAGGAAGCGTCCAAATCACCAGCTGACTTTCTGCCTCTTCTCCTGGATTCTTTCACTCCAAAATCAGGCTGATCCTGTTCTACGACCACAGCTGCTTGAATCCATCGACGAGCCTCGGCAGTGCGAGTCCGCCGGTGACGAGCTCGAGCCTCCTGAATGCGTACCAGGGCTTGCATCCTGCGCCTGACCAAGTGCCCTCGGACCAACGCTTGCAGTCTCACCAGGCCTTTCAAGGCACGCAGAGCATTGCGAGCTAGAAACTTACGAAATGCGGTCTGGATTGTGACTGCGGCCCAGTCCTCGAGCATACGACGCAGCCCCGCTGCACCAGTGTGGCGAACGATCTTTCCAACATCAGCCCGGGCGATGGTGTGTGATTGCTGATTTCTTCTCCTGCCAGAGATCGGCTGTGGCTGGGTTGGAGATGGGGGTCTGCAATCTGCCACGGACTCTATGACCCTGGTGACGGCGCTGCAATCACTGGTGCGGCTTGGTTCGGCATTCTCTAGACGTGGTGCAGGCAGATACGTTGCTTCGAATTCCCCGACTAGAGGACTAGCATTCTCCTTGGCGTTCTCATTGTCTTTCAACAGTTTCTGGTGAGGCAAGTGCTGAAATCTCTGGCTGTTCAGATTTTCATGCACGTGGGAGTGGAATATCTTCTTCAATGTACTGAACCATTTGGAAGTCTTTCCCATCCTACGATCTACTTGCTGACAGGTTGAATTGAAAATGCAGAGACCAGGGCTTTACCACAGGCTCGAGAGCTAAGATGGCAGTCGAGAGTTTGAAATGATCCTCGTGGGCTGAATTTATGTGAAGGACAACTTTGGGAGAGGAGTCCGATTGTGGTATCTTCTCTCACTATATAGACCATATGGCAAGACAATCTGCTTGATTCTCACTCCCAGCTACAGGCAGATTTGTGTTCACTTCTGTCATACTCGTTAATCATTCTGTGAACATTAGAGCTCTTGTCATGTGGGATCGGGTACTTGTGTACAGTCATGTAGCGACTCTTAGACTTGTGCTGTCGGTCCAGGAATAGGGGACAGACAGAACCGATGGAGACAACAGTTTTGGTCATAAGCCAACAATTTAGATTAAAAACTGACGGGATTGACAGCTTAAGCCTGGTCGTGAATGCCGCATAGCTACTGCTTATATGAGCTCTACATGAATATTAATTTGTCTGCTAGTCATAATTGTGGAAATCACAGTCTGAAGGCTTATCTAGTGTTCTTATAAGCCATCAGATTTATGCATATGGAAGTAAGTAAAGTGGAAGAAGTTGGGTTCTTGCGGAAGCTGAAGTAAGAACTGCAGTCATATAGTCCAGAATTAAGGGATAAGTACATTGTCTTTGTAATGTAATTACTGTTGATGGCAGACCTAGTGTTTCATTGGACCAACCTAAGAAGCAGGCCTTGAACCAAGTGGATTCGTTAGGCATAAAGTGGAGAACATTTCCGGGATTCTGCTGAATACTTTCGAATCCCATATACACAATCGTGATACCGTAAATGCTGGAGTAGAAAAAATAAAATATACTGAGCTTCTGGGTTCAATTTTACATTTCAATGTTAGAATATGATCTTTGCTTCATGGGCTCTTCAGAGCCAAGCGCAGACCGTTGAGTTATGAAGAATCTTGTCCAACACATCGTATTCTTCAGTTGAAAGAAGGGACTACGATGAACAGGAAATTGCAATCGATCTATTTCAGGGGTGGATAAACTCAACTTCATGTGTTCACATGATCCAACCGAAGTTTTATGTCTAATTTTGTAAAGTACAGGTACTGGCATGAACTTGCTAGGCTTTCACGAGCAAGGCCTCGTTTATCACACTGATGACCAAAAGAGACCTGCTGGAGCAAAAGCCCGACTCATCGGACTGACTCTACGTTCATTAACGCGTTCAGACTTCGAACTTCTAAAGGTCAAGTTATTACGATGTCGGCTAAAACTCTGTACACTCCTTCGATTAAATCGCATTGTGTTTATTTTCCGTATCTTCATCTAGAGAATATGCCATTAAGAGTTTCTCTTCCTGGATATTGTAGCTCGTCAAAAAGCCTAAAAATTCTTCTTTCTGCTTGGTAGACCCAAAACTATAAACGGATAAAATGATTGTCATGTAACTAGATCTACGAATTCAGTCAGAGTTTAATACTATGCCTAACATGTAATATTTCACTTGCGCATGTCTTCTTTCATGCTGATCAAAGTTACTCTCATACCTAGATATATGATGATGGGAAAGCGTACTGTTTGGTCTCATACACTTCACCTTGTGAGGTCTGAAGTCATCCCAAAGCACTTTGAGGATAACTTTAGTCATGTAGCGGGAACACTTACTTCCAATGTTCAAGAATGAAGAATACGACAATAAGCATCTGTTTCCACCTTTAGTGACTTCAAATATAAGATGATCATATAGAAAAGCCGTTCAGGTCTTCAGCTATTCAGTCACAAATCAGTTAACTCTGGTACTTTTGTATTTTCCACGTCGCACACGAAACCAGGAAGGAGATAGTGCTTCACTTTCTTGTTATAAAATGCTACGTGGGACAGTTCAAGTGAGATCTCTGTCGACGAACGAGCTGGAACTCGACGTGAGCAACATAGATTATACTATGCGGCAGAATGTGCTCCTTGGATGCATGTGCAATAAATGAAGTTGATACAGTGCTCACGTGTGCTGTGGATACTCATCATGTTTCTTATAAGGACAAACCTGCAATAACGACCGCGACGAATATTACCCCACGCTTCCGGTTCATACGATAAAGCCGTAGTTACAATGTGGCATAGCATAGCTCTGGGTTTTCAGATGCCGTTTGCAGTCTGACCTGGCTAGGCTGGAGTAATAAAAAACAATGCGAAGGCATATTTTGTCGGAGTGGTACTTTGAGGGTACGTGCTTACGTCTCTGACATGACATCCCAGTGAGTTCTTGTACTATTATTCCAATGTCAGGCTACTACTCTCGGCTTGTGAGTCACTCTCGGTATTCTACCCTGGCAGAAAGATGATGTAAACCCAAAAACTAACATTCAGTCGATATTCGTAGCATAAAGTGCACCAGAGGAGTGTTTATGGAATTCTGAGATCTATCAGAGATGACATGGCAGTAAAGAATGAGCGCGTATACATGGCTCGCTTTGTATTGATAACCACAGGGCTCTGTGGGCTTCGAACATTTTTCCAAAATGGATTCTGCATACATATTTTGCTCGTTGTGAATGACATTCTGACATCTTAAAATATTCCAAGCAGAAATCCAGTAGAATTATCGCAAATGCATAGATTATGATCAAAACACGTTTGGACTGACAGTTGGCCGTGGCATGCTCCAATGTAACAATCGGTCTCTTCCGTTCGTAATCTTGAATACTGATCTTTCAGATTCAAGATTCAGATTCAAATTAATGGTTTGGGTAATCTACATATGTTTGTCTAGTATCAACATGAGAGTTTAATATTAGCAATCTTAGATTTCAACAGAAATCTCATTGCATTGTGCACCAAATCGTAGATGAATAGCAATGGAGACACTGTAAAAGGTAACTAATACCATTACGCGTTTCTCATGCCTTCCACTGTACGAACTTATGAAGGGTCTGAAATTAGGCAGTTAAGGATGATAAGTGGGTGGCCTGCATACACTTCAGCGCACATCCTGATGTGTTCCGTACACAGAATTGTTGCTAGGTCGGATAAGCCTGCTAACAGTCATTAAGTCTGATGTATCAAAGTATGTTTATGATCAATTGCAACAAGTTCGTATCTTTTTTTGTAAGCCTGTTGTGGTCACCAGATAGAAGCTGGACAAGTGATCAACAATGTAAGCATCCTGTAGATACCATCAACTAGACACACCCGCTATTCAAAGATACATAAAGAGCAAGGTAGGTCTGAGTCATAGTCGGATTTGGCTAGATTGTAGCCAAAATCGGAATTTGAATTCATGCACTTAGAATTTTATGTCTTAGATTACATTTACACTGAAGCAACTGGAATGTTATATAGATGAAGAATATACATCAGAGTTCAGAATTTCCTATTCCGAGATTTAATGGGGTTGAAGACAAAACACATGAAAACTAATTGTCTTTCCAAAGATCTTTGTGACCTTGAACTGAATTAGACTTCCGTGTGGTACTTACTGTCCATAAGGTAAATATGCGTTGTAGCCAGACTCAGATTTTCTCTGAACAACACTACCATGTTATTCACGCGCAAATGGTTTCCTGTGCAAGATCTTAGATATATGAGCTGCTCGGTTCCATCTAAATAGAAACCAACGTACTTTCTTTTCATAGGAAGATATTCTATTCATCTTCAAGTTTTTAACCTGCTATCATTCTCATTAATCAGATGTATGCAACGAATTTCTTACCTGCAATCAACCTGAAACTATAAAATGCAACTCATGACGGCTGGTGACTATCTACTAAGCATGGTATTAACAGTGGTGATGCCTTTGTCCATGTTTACGACGCTGATATTAATCTTTCTACATAAACAATTGAGGGAATGGCAGCCAACCTTGAGGCGATGGCAGCATAATCATTTCAGTTCTTTTCTTATCTGCTTTTAGATTGCAGATAGCGAAGGATTTTTTTGAAATTCTGTATCTCAAGTTCAACTGCACAGACCAAGAACACCAATGACCTGGCTTAGCGTGTCAGCCTCCGTGTCGAATTACCAAAGACTACCTTGGAGACTTAAGTTTTTCACTTCATTCTGAACCCGACGCACCAGATTCACAAAGGATATATAGATTGGAATCAGTTTATTAGCGTCATCCATAGAATATTGAACACACAAATCGGGCAGTTGCTCAAGCGCGTCTGGGGATTTTTATTTATCCAAGTCAGATTTATTTATCATTTTTTAGAATATTCATTGAATATCAGCTTTTAGATTTTTGCATTTCTTATTATCACCTGATAAGTGAGAGGAGGTGGATATGCCAAAGACCATTACAGCAAACCGTGGCTTCTAAAAGGCACGAAACGCTTCGAACAGTGACTTTATCCATTCCTGATTTCAAGGCTGAAACTCGGATGAACGCCAAAGCATGTCACTTAATCGTGCATGCACGAGATCTGTTTTCGAAGTGCAAGCTGATTCAGCACAGCCCATCAGAAATTCATCATCTAAAAAATAGAAGAGCCCTCCACTGATCGTATGTCTAGTTAGGTCGTTTACCAGCCTTCTAACGGGAAAGTTGGTATCAAATCTCCTCAAGTGGGTTGGCAATGAGCTCATGATCGGCGTACCCAGCAAGCTGGATCCTTCTTTGCAGAGGCTTATTAATTTTTAATTGCAATGTTAAGACTTCAGGCACCGTGTCATAACGTTGTTCTGGGACCACTTCACGGTTTCGTGCCGAGCAGAGGTGGCCCACTTATCCGGGGAATATCAGTTATATGTGTTGCAGCTTACAGCCACGATCTTCAACCCAGAATTGAGGAAGTGATAATGAACATGAAGAAGATACCATTGTGCTCTGGTATTCTCTTATTTGATCCATGCTTTAGCACTGCAACTGCTCACATCCTGAACCTTTAAGCCTACATACATTCCATCTACCTGTAAAGATCTGTTTCTCGATCAGTCAGATTTCTCTGCCGCCAGGTGAGAGCTTTTTTTCTGTTTTAACGCAGGAATCAAATTCTTCCTTGAACAGACACTGAGGTGATTCAAAGATGAAGAATCAGACATTGTGAACTTGTCCCAGGTTCTTATGCCACCTGTAAACATCTGTTTCTCGATCAGTCGGAAATCTCTGCCTTGAGAAGAGATCTTTTTTTCTGTTGCGACGCCGGAATCAAATTGTTTCTTGCAAAGATGAAGAATCAGACGTTGTTAACTTGTCCACAGGTGCTTATGATGATGACTGTAAACGTTGCCTTTTCCTTGCCCGTGGCGGCTCTTACTGCTGCAGTCGGAGAACGGGATGGTGAAGGTGTTAAAACCCACGGGGACGGGCATGACGATGGGAGTCGTAGGCACTACGGTTAGGATTTTCAGAGTGGTCCACTGCTTAACGGCGGCTCTTCTGCAAAGAACGATCGGGTGGACCTCTACAGAACAAAGTACAATCTTGCCCGGAATCTCATACTTACTTTCATACAGTCTGACATTCTGAAAGCAAAGGACATTCCTCAAGCTTTTGTCCGATTGCAGTTCCATTATTCGTTTGTGACAGTGAGTCCTAATGTGAATTCTCATTGCAACAAAATTCTAGAAATTCTGTAGAAGGAAAGTAATTCATGCACAATTTACCTACATACAAACACATACATTAAAGCGCTAAACTTGAGGCAAACATCTATCACCCACTTGATCGATCATGGTAATGCTACCTTCAACATGGTATGTAACCAAGCAGCCGAAACCGCAGGCTTTTGATTACAGTGGGGGTGATGACTGAACGATTTTTTTCTCAAGTGTGTCTTGATCACCCTTTATGTGGACCTTCTTACTCAACAGGGTCCGGTCAGGGCTACGATGATTCTTAGATTCCAACGAGACCAACTTTGCAGAGAACGAAGGTGTGGGTAAAGCCTTCTCCGATAGAGTTACGAGAACATTGACTCTGGAAAGGCTGCAGTGTGTTTCTTAACATTGTGTCCTCGTGTATTTTGTGGCCGTTGCTTCTCGAGATGCCTTTGATGCTGTACATGAGTTGCAAAACCCTCCCGTTCAATGACCCACGCCAAATGTCGAGGCTTTGATTTGCAATAACCACCACACTCTCTGTCTTTGCTAATAACTTGGTTCTTCGTATGCTCAAATTGGAGGGGTCTTCGTGCTAGTTCCTCGTGCTTCATAAATCCCCAGCAACGTGCCGTCATCATTCAACAACTACGCATTCCTTGTCCACCATTTCACCAGATAGGTTGGAAAGAAGAAGACATGGACATTCTTTCAGGAACGTATCCGAGCTGCTGGGATACCACTAAAATAATCAGACCCTCCTCTCTACATTTCCAGATGTGATGCAATTTTGGGGTGCCTGAGTGCTCATGGCGGTAAATCTTCTCATTATTTCGCATTATGTTCCAGAAAATGTCAGAGGAACAAAAGCTGTCGTGGAAACTTGTTGGAATTTATAACTTGTTGCCTAAAATTCCAATCGGGGCTGAGCTGCAGAGTTCAAATACTCAAAGTTAAGAGAGTAACGAAGGAGAAAGAATAAGTGAGACAAACGGCGTCGTAGTAGCTCACACTACCGGAATTGCGCAGTGTGGACCGATCAGAATAGCTTGTATAACTTCTCTGGTCCTGATGGTGGACCGAACCGACCTTGGACGCGAGCTACGCCGCTGTGTTGAAGCAGCAGTGCCCCTTTGGACAGGTCATGACAGAAATCAAGCTGGACCCAAACCAGCGGAGAAATAGTCTCGACAGCAAGTTCTACAAAAACGTCCACAGCAACAGGCGAGTTGTCATCTCAGATGCTACTATTATCTGGACCCTCGATGGTCCTGCCCTTGCTGCAGCCCAAGCAGCTGGGCTTCCCACACCCTTCTTTGCCGATCTTGCTGCTACGATTTGGAGAATAATTAAGATTCGTGTGTTTCAAACATCACGAGAACAGATCCATCGTCATTGTGGTTTCTTCTCCATCTCACACTATTTCTTCTCAATTTGGTTGTCGTCAAAGCTAGAACTCATTGCTAGTTAGCTGTGAGCTCGACAGCGCTCCAACCACTATACACAGTGTATCCGTGGGATACTCGTTTTTCCCTGGGGAACAACATTCTTTTAGACATATACTGGTGTTAGTCATTGATCTAATTCCTAGAAATTAGTCATTATACAAGGTCGGAAGAAGGTAAATACCAGAGAATATAATTTAATGACTTCTAGGAAACAAAACCGAAAAATTGAAATAAACTGGTTTTTGAAAGTTATCATAATACTTGAATGTTATAATCTTCTTTCTTGTTACATTTTGCTAAGAACTAAAGTACTAATCCCGTTTTCACATTTTGCTAAGAACTAAAGTACTAATCCCGTTTTCAGGTTAAGTGACGAGCATTTAAAAGTAATGCTCCATACAGAACTTTGTCCGGAATATAGTATAAACCACTTGAAAATGATTTCATGCTCCATCATTTGAAGATAAAGTTCTTCTAAGTTAATTAGTTTTCATGCGTTTTTTTTAATCACAAAATTTTGTTCAAATATATACAGATTTGGAATGTAACCTGAACTGTAGACAAACTCTAAAATCCAATATGGAAAGTGGTTTTGTTTTTAAATAAATTGTATACAACGATTCATTTCATATAAATCTCGAATTTGCTTATAAATCTTCATGGCACTTGAAAACTTAAATCTTGAGGAAAAAAATTGTAGTACTTCTCCGATTTTTAATTATATGATATTAAAGAAGCAGTACATATTTTTTTTCATATCAGTATTTGTAAAAGCAAGTTATATATATATATATATATATATATATATTTCAGTAATTAACGATTATACTTATCGAAATAACAAAATCATAATGTCTCTTACAATATACATATTAGGAGCGCTTCTATCCGTATTCATGCGCGAAACTAATACAAATTTTGATGCAGAATGTTTACAATGAGAATACTCATCCCACCATCATTCTCTAGGTGAAGTGGTAAGTAGAGTCTTTTGCATTTATATGCGTAGTAGACCACAAAACTTCCCATTCTTATAATTGGACAAAAAGGCATCAATCTTGTAATGATGGAATGTGATCAAAATAATCCTAGGTTGAGAGAAAAGAACCTGAAGTTAAACCGTTTTTGTTTACTCGTCGATATTCATTCAAGGCTGTGCCATTTGAGAGTGCTTAGAAAACAATATATCAAAGTTGTTCATATAGTCAAGAATGAGGACAAATTGGTTATGAAGATGCATCGATGTCGTAAACTATCACAAGCACCAAAAAGCTCGTGATATTTCACTTCATATTTTGATCTTCAGAACTCATAACCTAGACCCAGTTAGGTCCTTGCAGAATAAACAACTCGTTCATTTTTTGAAACGTAACTCGTGCGAAAATCAACGTTCGTGAGATGAACATAGACTAGAGTATAGTAAATCCCAATTTGTTAATATTTATTGATGGGCCAAGCAGGCCAAGCAGGATACAGACATTGATCAGTCTCCTTTAATCAGTAGACAACTGTTTGAAACTGGTCGAAATCGGTCAAGATTTGCTCGACCAATTTCAAACAATCACTAGCTCTACTGCTGAAACTAGCGAAGCTGGAGAACCAGCATTTGACCTTAAGACAGCTTGTCAGCCAGTCACCAGCTGTGTCTAGACAAGTGTGAGTTAGTGCACTTTAAATGAGAAGCAGCATTGGTTTTCAGATTAGTTGGTAAATCTGCAAAATTGTCTGATCTGTCCTTGTGGAGCCTGAAGAGTTTCGATGTTGATTAACTTCTCCATGGCAGCTGCAAAATCGGTGAAAAATGGTTCACGCCTTCCAGCAGCCTCAGCCCTGACAATCGCGGCTCCCACGGGAGATGTTAGGAGAGTAGCATCAGAAGTAAAAATTCCCTTGTTGTTCAGGACGTTGGTGTAGTACGTACTATCAAAGCGATCGCCTTTGTTAAATGGGTCCAGCGGGATCTCATTCATGGCAGCTCCGAAAGGACATTGCAGCTTCAGCTGAGCAGCGTACGCAGAGTCAAGAGTGGGGTCGACTCCATTAGGACCAGTGCTGTTATACAGACGGCTCTGGATTAGCCCGCAGTGAGTAATACCGATCGTGTGAGCACCTGCACGTTCAGCCCGATGTCAATGGCATTGAGCTCAGAACATCCCATTGCGAACTTGTTACTGAACTGAGTGGAAGCAGTAATATATCACCTGAAAGAATCACCATCTCCCTCTGAGTGAGGCCCTTTTTGGAGAAGATGTTGACGAGGAAAGAGTAGTCGGCAAAGGGAGGTGGCAAATTGCTTGGGGTTTCGACAGCGTTGGAAATTAGCCCATCTCTGCGACCAGACACCACCTTCCATGATGGACCTCCAATCTGCGGCAGGACAGATTCAAATGCGGTTATAGAATCGAGTCTGACGTCTGTGCTTTGCGTTTGGGTCTCTTATTGCATTCGAAAAAAGTTGTTAACTGAAATTCAGTCTCATCATCTGTCCGTTCTTGTCAACATGAGACTCGTCTTGTTAATCAATTGAAACCAGCCACAAACTTACAGAAACTATGGCATCTCGTGCAGCAAGGGCGATAATGTCTGCACAAGAAACAACATTCGGGCACACCCTCTCCACTGCTCGTTTAGCAGCATCGATCACTTCGTATCCTCTGACGGAAAGTGCGTTACCAACGCCATCTTTCTCCGCAAGGTGAGTCTGGTTGGAGTCCAGTAGGATAGAGGCATCGCAGCCCTGCAGCAACAATTGTTCGATAATGTTTAGTTCGTTCTTCTCAGATTCCGGACTGGCTCGCCACCAGTCCATTTGTATATGCACTGTAACCCACATATCTGTTCATATTTCATATATAAGGATTAGTATATCCTTAAACATAACTGTATATTCGTAATCTATTTTTGTTTATTAATAAACAAAGAGAGAAGTATGTATATATTCACTATACACTGCTTCTGTAGCGCTTGTAACAACTGTATTCCGTGCTGCGAATGATCATTTCGTGCTGCTGTAAACACTTGTAAACTCAAAGGCGTATAGTATATGTTCAGGTCGACATAATGCAACAACCACCGTATTGCGCTATGTCGTTTGCTGTTGCAAAACTAGAAAACTCGACCAAAAAAAAACATACTCGAATTATTTAATCTGACAATAATTGAACATTCATGAAGTTTTTGTATACTAGCAACTTTATTATCCTTTCATCAAAGTTATGAATGACAGAGATTGATCAGACTGATTCTGACTATCACTGAACATTCCATGATGAATGCTAAACTCACCCTGACAAAGCAATCGTGAAATTGCAGTCGGAGAAGTGCAGCTGGGAGACCCCGGTCTCTAATGATGGCAGACAGAACAGTTAGCCTGATGACACCTCTTGCAGCAGGGCATGCATTCTTGTAGAAGTCAACTTGACTACCCAGAGAGGGAAAAAAGTTGAAGCCATCGTTATTGTTTTCGTCATCGCGACCACCTCTCCAACCGTCGGCAGCCACACCGAAAACTCCACTCCCTAGAACAGCCACCACCAGCACACACGCACGGATCATCAGCGGCCTCTTGGAAACCGTCATTGTCATTATTGTCCTCGAACTTTTGCCAAAGTTTTGAACGATTTTTGGCAAGCACTGATGTAAGCTTCAGATGCAAGAAAATTCAAGTTGACGTCAGGCAGATGATGGGAATGCTGTTGGAAGGGATACTTGTGTGCACAAAGAAGTGCACGATATATTTTCCTCAATCCGAAGCGGTTTATATAGTTCTCACTATATCACAGTCAAAATTCCTCTAGTGGCGGTCAAGGTTGCAACAGTATACACTCTCCGACCATGAGGTAGTGATGATGCATATCTTTGGAATTCTCGATATGTGCACAATATCGTGACGCCGCTGATCGCTGGAGATCTAAGGAAGATTCTTCTCTAATATAACCTTGAGATTAGCCTTCAAAGCAGCTCAGGAGGCAGACGTTCTAGAACTAGAGATCCGCAATCCCCTGGCGTATCTGAATTCCTCAGCACGATGTTTCACTTTTTGTAGCGTGAGTGGGCTCTGAACTCTGATCTGCTAGTTTAGTAAGCAATTCAGGTGTTCTGCTGGATACAACCCGTATGAAATTCTATTCTCTGTTGAGAGACATTGATGTCGACGCATGAGTTTTCATATGCTCTCATGAAAACCTCACCTTGTCACACTGTGTATACGAGCTATACTTCACTCCGTATACAGAGCACCTTCACGACAAGCAGCTTCTTCCAGCATCTAAGGGGACTTTCCCGGAGTTTTTGGATCTATGCTGTTCAATGATTGAAGAACAGTCTAGAACCCGTTGGGGGAATTTCCTTCAGAATGTCTTAGATGACGTCCAGGGGGGCAATTAAAGAGAGTAAGTTTCTTATTTACCGGAACTCGGAAGACTCAAAACCTTCCGGAATAGGTTTGCGAGCAAAGTAACGGCACCATCTCCACAGAACTACAAATTCTTAATCTTTGCGGAAGTTCAGACTCCTTGCTTGCTTTAACAGCTGAAATCAAGGATCGAGATCGGAAGCTGTCTTGTTCACGGTTCTTGCAAATTATACTATTCACGAACTACAGGGATGGCTCGATTCAGAAGGTGCATGACGCTACAAGTTTCAAACACTGTCGTTTGCGCAGGGTAAGTATTGTGTTTTGACACTGTTATATTATTTGTCTTATCATTCCATAACCACGGTTTATCGACTGATGAAGAATGTTTTATGTTGACAATGTACTTTCGTACACTATGTCACTTTGCAAAACTCTGACTGATAGATGGTATGCTTGGATCTACAACTGTGGATCGAATCTAGGTGTTTCTATTACAAGTCTGTTGGATCAGTATAGCACCCAACTCCATTCCAGATTAAGCCACGCGTCTTCTTTGACAGCTCATTTCAGGCATCAGGAATGGCCTGCGAGGCAAACGGAATAAAACTATGTGCGTCACGAAAGTTGAATTTATTTACAGCAAGGTTGGACTTGTTCAATCAATATTCAGTATAAGAGGAGGGAATGCAATTTTTAATTGGACCCTTAAAATAAATTATAGATGCAATTATGACCTTGAAACTCGGACTCATTGTGAAGATTTGTAGATAAAGTATGTGCATCAAGTAAACTTTGCTCTCAAGCCCATTAGAACTAATAAATGATTATACATTAGAATAAACTAAACCTCGCACATATCTATATCATTACGTGCTGAACTGAGAGCTCCTTACCTCGGGTTACAACACTGAATTGATTATGCAAAGTAGTTGAAGTTCTCAACCATATCTCACAACTTATGCAATTTTATCATTCATATATATATATATATATAATGCAATACCCTTACTTCTTAATGATATTATTTTAATATATTTTCGGATCAGCTCTATAATTTGCAGGCTTTGCAAAATAGACTGGCAGAAATATCAGATTGACAAAAAAACTCAGAAAATTGCCTTCTTGAGCAGTTTTTGAATAACAATGCTTTGTCAGAGTATGATGTGGAGTGTGGAAGAATGGATGCCAAAGAAGTACCTTGAGTCAAAAGTGAAACAACCCCAAAATAGAATTTTTATCTCTTGAGCGGAATTCAAATTGGAATTGCAATCCAGTTTTTTTCCATAGTTAGAAGCTACTTTTTGTAATTTTATCTTTGAACGTTAGATTTATCAGTGAGTGAGGATCACAAAATATTTCGTTTAAACTGAAGCGTTTTATCTGCATTTTCCTTAAAATTACAGAAAAATGGTTTACCTTCACAACTCTTAAACATTATCTAAGCATTGCTTACAAGTAATTTTTCATCACCTATCGGATGCATGAGTACAAAAACATAAGGCTGAAACTCAAATATAAAAGCATTTGTTGGATATTGATCTGAAAAAAAATCGTGAACTTTGGTCTATACGGTTGATATTTCAGACTACTTCATATGCAATATTGACTTCAACTGGCTGGAAATTCAATTGACCATATTAGAATCTGGTACTGCGAAATGTAGAAATGGGAACGTGTCATTGTACTCAATATTTTAATCATGATACGATGATCATCATCATGAATCTCACGCAATCTGTAAGTTAAATTGCATCCTGTGAGCTTACAAGAAATTACGTGTCTCTTGTGGAGGAGTTGCACTGATTACATATTTGATTTAGTTGGACGATCTTAGTAACCTGAGTAGTGGACCGAGCGGGTAGATATTAAGCCTGTTGATAATCTCCAACAAGATTACTCCGGCCTTTCCTTCTATGTGTAGATCTGAGAGTCCAGTACAAGAACAAGGCACCTACATAATTGTGGACATCAAAGACACCATCAAATTGTTTGATCAGACTGCTTTCCACATTCGTGTCCGCGCAAGATAGAAGTATGTTGACGTCAATCTATACGGAGAACATACGAGATACATGACCATTGAACGCCACAACCATCTTGAACTTCTGCCTTGCGTCGATGCCATCTTACTGTGGTCATCTCTATCAGATTCTGTGCATCTGTTGACGAATGTGGGTGGTGATAAACCTTGCAATGTTCCAGATTTTGAGCAGACATGTTAAGAGACGATGACAATGACAATGTTCCAAAGTCTGAGCAGACATGTTTAGAGACGATGACAATGTTTCAAATCTGAAATCAAGCTTCCAGAGCTGTGTGACATGAAATTTCAGGCACATTGACGTGATGGAGGATCAAATCCTCGTCGATGTTTGACTTGCACAGAGTAAAACTTGAATTGTGGTAGCTAACTTACTCTACAACTCGGTCATCTGAATTGACCTGCTGACTATCGAAGGCTACAGTTCATCTCGGTGAAGTTCGAGCTCAAGACTGCAATGAAAAGAGTCAAGAGTCGGGTAAATGATGAATCCTCAACAAAGTTTCTAATGGACCGGGTTTATAATATCAAAGGATGTCAAAATTTTACTAGTTAATGAATTTGCAGTCTTTCCTAATCTGTCCATTTGGAGCTGTGAGAGTTTCGAGAACTATCATCTTCTCCATTGCAGCTCCGAAATCTGAAATGAATGGAACACGGCTGTCGGCAGCCTGAGCTTGTACCAAGGCCAAGCCACTGGCAGTTCGAATTAAATTGTCGTCAGATATAAACAGTCCTTTCTTCTCCATGAGTCTAGTGTAGTACATACTGTCGAAAGTGTTTCCGCCGTTGGTAGGGTCCATCTGGACCTCCACCATGTCTGCTCCAAACGGGCACTGCTGCTTCAGCTGAGCAGCGTAAGTCGAATCAAGAGTAGGATCGACTCCATTGGGTCCAGTGCCATTGTACAGACGGCCCTCAAGCAACCCGCAATGAGTGATACCGATTGTGTGAGAACCTGCAGCAGACTTTAGTTAGAACTCTGAGCTTCAGAAGTTCCGATCGGCCAGATGGAAGAATGTGAAGAATACAATGATAAGTAGTCAGTCAGTTACCTGAAAGAACTACCATCTCTTTCTCAGTGAATCCTTTTCTGGCGAAGATTTGCACAAGGAAAGCATAGTCGGCGAAGGGAGGGGGCAAGTTGCTTGGGGTCTCCACGGCGTTTGAAACGAGTCCATCTCGGCGGCCAGATACGACTCTCCAGGAGGGACCTCCGATCTGAAATCAAGTATACTCCATTCGGGTCAACAATATTGGTTCCTCCTACGTTGTGAATCTGGTAATGCTTTGAAACCGGTTACTGCATGCTTGTCGGCTAAGATTACACAACTCTTGGAGCGAACTTGTATACAAAGAGATCTGATACTTACGGCAGCTATGGCATCCCGAGCAGAGAGTGCAATGATGTCCGCACAAGAAACAACTCCAGGGCAGAGGCTCTCTACTGCTGTCTTCGCGTCATCGATCACTTCGTAACCTCTGACAGAAAATGCATTACCAACGCCGTCCTTCTCGGCGACGTGAGTCTCGTTGGACTGGAGAAGAATAGAGGCATCGCAACCCTACAGGAAAGATGATAATCACAGCCTCAGTCTCGCAGCGGACAAACAGATACTGGGCAATATTGTCACCTGCAGAATACCACCCGATTCCTACTCAAACTTTTGAAAAATTGTGGTTTACGAACTCAGCGTAATCGTTCTTCGACACCTGGATTCTATAAAAGGCTCCTGGTAGTTTGCGATTTTGTTCCGCGCAGTAGGAAGTCTCGATGACCGACCATGAGTCCAGTTCCAGAGGGATAAGTTTGCACCGAGTAAGGGAGTTATTTCAGCTCACTGCTGCTGGTGTGGGATCCTCCCCTTTTCCTGCACGCACGAGCCTTCGCCATAATAACAAGCTAGTCCACTTCGTAGTCACTGTCAGATGTTCGATTAATTTGAGTTTCAAGCCTATTCTGGAAGACCTGAGCTCGAGGAAGAAGCCAAGATGGAACTTCAGACGTAATGAGTTTATGAAGTGTGAGCCATATTGTACATTAAAAGGAAATCCTATATTGAGCAGCTCTGAAACTTTCCATTCCGGGATAAGAATGGGCTGAAAGCAGCACGCTCACCCTGACAAAGCAGTCATGGAACTGCAGTCTGAGAAGTGCAGCGGGAAGACCTTTGTCTGCGGCTATGGCAGAAGAAATGACCGAGCCGACTGCATTTCTTGCACCAGGACACTGACTTGAATAGAAGTCAACCGGATCAGCACCACTCGACGGTGGGGGAGGAGGTGGTGATGGTGGCGGTGGCGGTGGAGAGGCAGACGGTGGTGGTGGTGATGGTGGAGGAGGAGGAGGAGGAGATGCTCTAGGGGGAGGAGAACGGGGAGGAGGAGGAGAACGGGGAGGAGGAGGAGAACGGGGGGGAGGAGGGGGAGGCGACCTTCTCCATCTCCAATTGTCCGCACCCTCGACCACAGCACCGACGGCCAAGAGCAAAATGCCAATTGTCAACAACTGCTTCGGAAGCATCATCCTCATTGATAAGTGAACTCTTGCAGCACTCCAAGTCGGACCTCAAGTTGTCGAGGAATCCTGGAAGCACAATTCGTACGTAATCCTGACGTCAGATAGCTAGCTGACCAGCAAAACTTCGCAATTTTAAACCTGGGAATGTTGTGTGCAGTGTGGAACAAAGAGTGCACGATCATTGCCACCATTCCTTATCGCCTTATATACGAATCCTTTAATCACATTCAAGCCATGATTCCTCAGGGTGAATAATCTGTAATACAGTAAGCCTGACCCGTACATAGAATTCTTGGTACTGTTTTCGTACATGTGGCCTTGTGAGTACGTATCTATGACCTTGCAATGCTCCGATCTAACGTGCACTCGTTCTGAATAGTGGCCTAGCTCGAGGGAGATAAATAATCACATACATAAATACATGTACATAATTAAAGAGATATGAAATTAAAAGCCATGGGAACCTTGCAAATGCCAGGACACCAAATAAGACAAAAAGACGTCAGGAAACGTTGACAACTCCACATTTGCTGGAGTTGCTGCATCCTCGGACAAGAGATTGATGCAGCTTTCGATGATCCAGTCCCACATATAGTTTATGCTTTTGAAACATGAAGTGTGACGCCTTTTTGGGTGGCTCACAGAGTACACGCGTTTGTTCTAACATGTCGTTCATGCGGATTACATTTCAGAAAGTACTTCGGATGCTCTTAGCTGGAATTAACAGAGGTCTTGTGTATTTAATGTGTCATATATTGGCCTCACAGGCCCATATGTGGTCATCAAGCTACAGTCTACAAGCACATTTTGAGTTTTGTTTTGTTGCCAAGTGTTTTCTTTTGATAGGAGGCAATAAAGGGAGGATTTGAATTGGTAAGGATTTAGATCTGAGATGCTGTCCCGATATATTATATCCAGGAGCAAACTCGTAAAATATGCGAGAGAGCATAGCTCGGTTGCTATAAGAATTCAGAATTTAGCTGATTACTATAGTGTGAGGGCTGAGTTATATAGATAGAGTCCCATAAGTGGCTTCAAGGAACCTAATTCTACCAAACTATTTGTGAACGTCAAATCGATGAAAATTCAACAACGTAGAAACTTTGTTTATCCCAGCTTACTTCCTTTTCCTGGATGTGGCTACGACGTTGATGCACTTACTCAGCCTCCGCACTCTAGAGAGAAAATATAACTAAAGACTTTGTTAGGTCAAGACGAATATAATTTTCTACTTCGTATTACCATTTGCACCATACGTTATAGCATAAATGAGGTGAGCTCTAAGAATGAAAGGTTGCTTTCATTCTTAAATTCACTTTGTGATGTACTTAGAAAGAAATTATAAGAGGATAAGGAATTTATTATATATATAATCAATCCCGGTTCCCAGCGGTTAAAAAAAGGGTAAATAAAACTAATTTTTTTTAATTTACGGCATATATATTCAACTAACGTCATAAGTTGCATGTTACATCAACGGCTTGCTTTCATAATTTACTTCTCAGAAAAATTTTAAGTATTAAATTATAGATAAATCATATAATTACGAATTGTTTCCGCTTAATTTTTTTCTTAACTTCTGCCATTGTTTCAATTCCTTTTTTCTATTTTCACGCTTTTGTGTTTTACATCATCAAGACTTCCAAGTTTTCTAGAGACCCTAGTTAAGACTTGAAGCTTTGACTGTGCATATTTTTTATATCCACATGTTTATCTTAGAACTGAATATTGATGCAACTTGATTGTGATTGAAAATATAGTTTTTTAAACCATTAATTCTAATTTCTTCGGAATAACTTACGAATAGCTTTGAATCAAGCACGTATACATCTGGAGGGAAATGAACATCAAAGCATACATCTAGAGAAAATTCTCATGCAGTGAATGTCAGCATCGGTTGATCTGACGGCTGTGAACGTAATCATTAAAAAGGGCACTCACATTGTACTATCAATAATGGTCTTTATCTGCGACTTCCTCTAGTCAAAGGTGCGTCCCTACTCTGGCAATGCTGGCACACGGACGCTAAAACTTGAGGGAGAGTGGTGACAATTCAAGAGTGATAAACCAGTTTGAGTGCCGGATATGAAGCCATTCCAATTCCCAAGGTCCACACCTCAGATATCAGACTGTTCTCAAACCTGATAAATTTGGGCTTTGTGTCTTCCAAACTTCATTCCCATGTGTTAGACAAGAAGGGGAGCAAGTGGATGTCCAAAACGATATCATCTGTTAGTCAATCTATCTGGATGAACACATGGAACAGGTGTTCTCACTGAACTCTCGGAGCCTCTCGATATGGCCATGGTTATGATCATTGGCTATGCTCCCACTGAAAATAGCAACGAAGAGTGCTCGAATTGTTCTGTTGTGGATAAATCGCTCGTGAAGTGATCATCTGAAGGTCCAAGGGTTTCCATATATAGTGTCCAAACTATATGACAACCTTCACAGTCTTTCAGCACTCTGTTCAGATTGGGAAGCAGGGAGTTACTCTGTAATTTTGTCTGGGAAATAAAGGCCATGGAAACGCTGACTCAGTGTCTAATCGAATAGTGAGGGAATGACGGAGATCTCATCACAGCGGGAGATCTTGCATGATGCTTGGAGTTCGTGGTTGACTCTAATCAGCAGGTAGAGCCAAAGATTCTCCACTAAGCTGAGGGTGCCGCATTAGGTTTCAGCTTTTGTCGATACAGATCTAGATCTAGATCTACAACTTGGAGCAGGCTTGAAGGTCTCCCATTTCTAGATTGACCGGGTTTTACTGCAGCTATCAGCATTTTGGGCAAATTAGAAACTGGCGAGAGGCGATTAAACCCCATACCCATTAGCTCGTCACTCATACTTCCTGCCCAGAGTTCAAAGTCTCCCCCCTCTCAAACATTGACAACCTCATACTCGAAGCTCGTGTTGTGGAACAATTGTGACTGGATCCTCTCATCTTACGCACGCTGTGAGAATCTCTGTGTGTCAGTCTGTCTGTCCGACACTGAGGCACTGCGCGTACTTACTCAGGCGAATCTATAGTGGTTTTGATTAGCGTCGCCTTTCTTTGTCAGCTGACCGAATTTTGCCTATCCTCGTTGCAGATAATTGGATAGCACGCTTGGGAGAAAAATGCGGATGGAGATCACATTTGCCGGTTCGCGTTCGTTGACTGCCGAGATTTCTCAATCCATTAGCAAGTCACACAATGCTCATCAGTGAATTTCAGCGTCGACCTCTTTTCGACCTGTGTCTCTCTTCCTCTCAGTCCCGTCTAATCTATTCCGCTGATTGTGATCCACATCGACTACAATTCAGTTCTCGCGCCTCGAGTCAAGTTGAGCTTCTGAAGGCAAGAAGAACTATAATGGAGTGGATCCAGTGAAGGACTTTTGTTCACATTTATCATCGCCCAAAAGCTTAAGTTGGTAGAGTACAATTGGTTGACTGAGTACAATTGTAGAAGAATCAGATTTGGCAACAATGGCGGCTGTTACCGAGGATCATCAACTTCGGATCAGAACGGCTCCTCCTCGCTCTGCTTCACCGGCTCGACAAAGGCTTCAAATCACCATTCCCAGAGTTCAAAGGCTTGCTCTGCAGATGGGGTCACCTCGAACTCAAAGAAACCAGCTGAATTCTCCTCGAGCTCAAAAGCTTCAGATGTCATCCTACTTGTCGCCGGTCACACAAGGCGCGTACATCACACTGGTGCTCGCCGAGAAATTTACTCATTTCTCAGGTGTGGGTGTGATGACTTGCCCTGCATATTGGATTGTGAGCGATGAAAAGTTCACTGTTATTAGGCCTTTGGAAGATAATGGCTGGTTCAGACCACACAATGTTGATGTCCACGTTACTGACAATGAAACCTTAAGGTAAAGAACTGAATTCATATCAATTCTTGTTTTCGTCTTTCTATTATTCGGTAATTTTCTTGCGATTGACCTTTCGTACGAATGCATTCCATGGCTCGGAACCGTTTACAGGTTGTTTTCAAATATCATGATGCATTCATTTCTCGACTCTGGGGTGTCGATTGTCCACAATTGCAGCTCTGCACTATCAGACTTGTCGTATATTCCAATCCGTTGCTTGCGATTCCGTTTGCAAAAGTCGTTGAGCATCAGTCAAGAAGGATACTTCTCATGTATCTACGAAAGGTGCGCCCAAAGTCAAGGAATATATACATGATTGTCGAAAACGCGTTTGTTTCTGTGAACACGTCGGTCCGAAGATCGGGTCCGTCTTCTGCCAAACCGTGTGGAATGTGTTATGAAATCTGGCGACTTGAGAGCCACTGCGTTCGAGGAAGCGCAATTGTGTACATCATCAACTATCACACAGATTATTGGAAAGTGTGACAACCGAAATGACCGGTCTGTACTTGCGGATGAATGCTGCTTCGCACATTTAGATTACACAGAACCGCTTCGATCTTTTGCCTCTGATTCTTGTTTCAGAGCGAAGGTTCAGGAATTCCAAACAATTGACAGAATAAGAATGCTCGACTGTCAGTGAGCTCATCTCCAACGAACACATTCTTCTCCCTCTTATCTGAAATTTTCGCCAGTAGAGTTGCGACTACTCCAAATCTACGTTGATAGCGATACAAGAAATCTCAATCGTAGCCCGTGCTTTTTAGCAGTTGTCACCAGGCGACCGAAGTTTATCGACAAGGACAAAAACGATTCTTATGCTTCAAATTCTCGAACTGTGTGCAGCCGCATACATTCTTCAGATCGTGTCTCTACACTATAAATGCTTCTCACGTTGTAGTCAACCGTACGGTTGTCCTCTCAACACGCAGTGGATAATTCTGTGGCCACTGATGCCGTTCCTCATCATCAAACTTGTTCAAACTCGCAATGATATCTGTCATGACGGGCAACAGGCGATGCCTTTCCCCTACCTTCCAGAGAGATGCGATGTAGTCTTCCTTCCCGTGATGAATAGCCCAGGTTTTTCCTCGGATATACAATTACCTTTATAGGGAACGGGAAGGAGAATGGTAAAAAAAAGGCAGAGAGGTTAGAGGCTGCGATCGGGTCCACTTTCGGCCCGAAAGGCTTTAGCCCTTTGTTTTGTCGGACAGTATTTTACTATTGTGGTGTTCGACAATTCTTTGAAGAAGCCAAAGCCCTAAGGTTTCTCTATGAGTTTTCATTGCTTTCACTTTTTTTTCGAGCCGCGAAATTTTTCGGGGCGCTCGGCCAAATTGAGATACCTTATCTTCAAAAACTGATATCAGAATGGAACGTGAGTATTCTTTCATAGCTATGTGTGCAAAAGTACTATGTAATATGTTGTTCTACATCTCTATGTCTTACTAAATTGATTCTTTTGCTATCAATATATATTCATCTTTTATGGTACATTGAATTGTGCAGTTCCGAAACAAAAATTTCTCACCTTATATATTTTATTCTTATTGTTAACTCACATCAAGCAGTAAATTTTTATAAAATAGTCACAATTTACATAACAAATAACTTGTAAATATAATTTTATGACATGTTATATTTTAGTATAAATATAAGATCAAATGTACTTCTGAAATAATTTCAGATTCATTTTATAATTTTTCACTGTATTTTGTTTCATTTAATATATATTCAATAGGTAAACATAGTATCTTTAATTAAGAAAATCACAAACAAACCTGATAAAAGCATCAGAAACAAAACAAAAACTCATTTTGTTGTATTAACTATCTTGGACATCAAAACTTTTTTTATGGCGTCAATTGGACTTAAAGCTAAGAGTAAAAAGTTTGTAGACTACTCACAGCCTTACACTGTTCTATATTAGACTTCGCAATTATCTTTCTAACATATTTGTCTAGTCTCATCCTTCATAATCACTGAATCTACATTATTAGAGTTATTTTTGGTGCATCAACATCATTTAATTAACAGTAAAAATATCATGCATTGTAATGTAGATATTTAGAGATAACAATTTTTTTTTAAAGTTATGATGAACTACTAAAAAATCATAAAGGTAAACATGAATAGTACTGATATTACATTCTATTGAATTTTTATAGAATTTATCATTTTCTATCGAAACTGAATAGTGTTTTATAAAATTAAGAAAAATCAAGTATTTAATTTTCATAATGCAAGTGATAATAAATTTGATTAGATGCAAGTATCATATTATAGACATCATAACACATCTTTGTGGTTATACATGTCTGCATCTTTTTTCTTCTTGTTGGAAATTTTTGCAAACATTTAGTTTTTGAAAAAATTCACATGTTTTGATTTTTAAAAAAATGATATTTTGATTTTGAGAAAAAAAAAATTATCTAATTTCAATATTTCATTTCACTTGAAGAATTTTAATGTGTTTTGGTAGCACCTTAAACTCAAGCTATTTGTTTTAAGTCCTTTAAGAAATGTTGTGAGATTTTAGAAACATTGAAGATTATCACTAGAGAAATCATGACTTAGACTATTATGATAGTTGAAAGTTCATGTCAATCAAAATAAGTTTGAGTAACTAAATATGGCTAAGATTTGATATTTAAAGTCAAAATTGCAAGATTGCACATAAAGTCACAATTTTAATACAAAAGCTAGAAACTATACAACAAACACAATGTAACAACAGATAAATATCAAAATGGAGCATAATGATATAGATCTTATCCCAAGAGGACAGAAACAACACTAGAGATTCAAATACTATCACAAATAACATCCTATTGAAGAGTTTTACTTCTCATGCACATTTACATTCCCAGAAATAACAACAAGTGTTCATCCAAAGACTCTACAAATGCAGTATGTAAACACATCAAATACCTGAAATACATCCAATAAACACCACAAAAACATCAAGCGAATTTGCACTTGAAATTTAGGAGGGGACTTTCCAAATATACAAGTTCAGCCTGCTCCGTCAAGCAACCATTCTACGGGTTTGCTTAAATCCTGAGCTACACTGTGCACCACTCAGAACACGTAGTATGGTTAACTCTACTTCAGATGTGCTATCTTTGACAAACCGAAGCAACTCTTGCACTGCGACGAAACGCCTAACTCACGAACGGTTAACTCTACTTCAGATGTGCTATCTTTGACAAACTGAAGCAACTCTTGCATTGTGACGAAACGCCTAACTCACGAACGTGCAGAGAAATGCAGTCTAAAGGTTGAAAATTGTGTCATGGAAAATCACTTTCAAGGCAGAGCCTTGCACTAATTTATTCACAACGAACACCTGGAGGCACCACCCACTGGCTGCGAGCTTCCATCAGGTGTGACGGCCACAAGCGCAGCAGTTGTCACACCTGCAGAACACCTAATTACTCCTATCCTACTCAGAACTGAAGTGAGCTCTAACTCTAAGTTCTCCTTAATCTCTTCCAACTCAGATATGAAAGAACTAAGTATTCTAGCAAACTGTTTGTGTTCTACTATCTCGCAGGTTTCGAGTGCTCTCAACCTACGCTCCAACGAGTCTAAATTCAACCACTTTGTGGTTTGGATCTCGTAATCCACATAACCTCAAAGACAACGTTCTGCTCTAACTCTCTAGCCGACAACTGTCTCCTGCTCCAGACGTCCAATGGTCGCCTCCGTCTGCTCCAATCTTGCCTGGACAGTAGCCAACTAACTTTCAACTGCCGACAGTTGAGATCGCAAACTTCTTCATTCTGTATCCAACGCTCTCCTGTGCTTCAACTCCAAAGATCTAGCAGCATCGCAAGAAGCTAATAGTTCTTCCCAAAGGACTATTCTGTAGTCGCCAAACGCTATTGTGTCGCCAGACACTCTATCAGCTCCTTTGTGTGCTCAATATCCCTCTCAAACCTTCCCCAAGACTCCTTCAATCCGTCCCAAAGTTCCTCCTTCAACTTTTGAATTGCGCAAACTATACGCCGAAGATCTTTGCACTCCTGTTACTTCTATGTACAAAGGTTCTTTTTGGCCATTAACTCTCGCCAAAGATCTTCACACTCCAACTCTGTCGCCCGAAGTCGCTCTTCTTGCTACTGCAAGATAACTATCGTGGCCGCCATTCAAAAGTCAAGATTTTGATCCGTTCTGTCACCCCATCAGTTGCTGCCGCCTTTGCCTTCGTCCTTCTGTGCACCAACTCTACATAAGAACCCATCAAAGATGCTGGCACCGAGTACTTTACCATTTTTTGGTCCAAGTACTTCATCAACAGAACAATCCGCTCACTCAAGAGATCTGACAGGCTCAACTCTTCCGCCTTCGGTTGATAGGCCAAAGGTCCTTTGCTAGTGTCAAACTCCACTGTCACCGAAGGAATCTGACAAGAAGGCAGCAACGGTTCATCTATAACCGTTGTCTCAACTGCTGCTACTAACTGCTCCGAAGGTTCTTTGTCCGAAGAAGAAACCCTCAAAGATCTTTCCATAATCACGCACATTCAAAGATCTTTCCTCCGAAGGCCAAAGATCTTTCCTCGAAGTCGAATCCGGTTGATCCAAAGACTGAAGGCGTTGATCAGAAGTTTCTGTTTCGGTCTCGTATTTTCCCTCTTCACCTTCTTTCAAAGTCCTCTCCTTAGCTATCTCCAATGGTAGCTTGGTCGAAGACCCCCACTCCAAAGACCATTTGTCCTTTGTAATTCAGCACTTCCATTGCAGTCCATTGATCCGAAGACAACTGAGTTTGCGACGTAGCCTCGCTGCACTCTACACTGTCCGGTACTTCCTGCATCATGCGTCATGCCATCACCTTCCTGCGAGCATGTGTCTCTGCCAACCTAAACCTTGCATGTTCAGGTTTTCTAGTCCTTAACCTACTATGTGGAACAACATCTTCCAAAGCCGAAGGTGTCATCACTCTCCTTTGCCTCTTCGCATGCGGTTCCTCAACATCATCGTCATCTTGAATGTCGATTTTGG